AAGTGCGGTGCATAACAGAAGGGTTGCAGGTTTGTCCCTGCTCAGACTGTCAGAGGCACTTCACCCGCCCTGCCTGCAGGGACCGGTGGAGCCTGCGCTCGGCAGGCTTGCCCCAGGGCAGCTGTGGCTATGTTGTAGCTCATCACCACCAGAGGTCTGAAGTGAATCGTTAATATAAACCTGAGGACTTTTGTGCCCAAATGGAGATCTAAACTAATCTTGCTCAAAGCGAGGACTCCCTGAGTGGATCGGTACCACCAGGACCCGATGATCAGATGCTGCTCTTCATCCTCTCCTGGGTCCTACGTCCCAGTGTGCATTCACGAGGACACAAATACACGACAGTAATTAACCTGGTTCTGCTGCTGGGAGTCCAGCCCTACATTCAGCCAGGTGGTGCGTTCACTGACACGTTGTTGCAGAAAACACCTCAAGGTCAGCTCTTTGAGATTAGACTGTATGGTTCCGCATGGATTAGGGGTTAATTTAATCCGTCTGCATGACAAAAGGTTTCCAGATTTAAATCTGAAATTTACAGTAGAATGAAGCTGAAATTTTTACTGAGAAAATTCAATCATAAATATTTGAGAGAAAAACAACAAATTCTCAGACTTAAGTTTGGATTTTACAAGAAAAACAAAATCATTTTATGTTAAAAAAAGAATTAAAAAGGGATTTATGTATTGAAGTTATTCAAAATAGGAACATTATCAATAAGAAGTAAAATTAGGGCTGACCTAGACAAATAAACCTATCTGTCAGAAACACCTGTAATATTTCATATTTGGAACATTGACATACATATATGGACAATGGGTTTCCATAGCCTCCTATAACACGTTTTTGAAGAAAAATGGGAGGTGGCCACCACCGCAATTTTGACCGTGTCACAGGTTCCGTCAAGCCCAGACAATTCCACAAAAGGGAAGAGAGGTGGAGCTGAGGGTGGGGCTGTAAGGCTGGGATCAACTGACGACACCCGGTTGAACTAGCTACAAGCTAACCTGATGCTAACGCGGAGGTGGGAGCTAAGCTAACGGAGGTAGCAACCTAGCTACAACCGGAGTTAACTGTACACAACACCAGAGCTTCTGAGTCAGAGATACGCCGGGCTGACCGCTGGGTAAAACCGGGTGGAACACAGAGGTCTTGCGAGACCTCCACAAGCCGGCAGCCCGCGCAGCAGACAGAAGCCGCGATCAGACAGAGATGCGCCGAGCTGCGGGGAGCTGGAGAACCGGGTGGAAAACATCGGTCTCCCGTGAGCTCCACAAGCCGATAGTGGGAACCCAGCTCCACCAACATGTTATATTTCAACCCATTTTCTAAAGTGCAGCATTATGTTAAATGCACTGGGTTTTACCCTATTACATTTAAATTTCATGGTTAAACAGTACATGTTAAAATCTAAGCTCAGCTCGGCAGTGACCTAAAATACATAAATATAATTTTACTTACCGAAAAAATGAAGTGGAGACTCCTTGGACGCTCTATTAGTGCAATTAATGCCACAGCAAGTCATTTTGTCCAACAATTGCACAAAAATATCCAAACAAGAATACACAAACACAGAGACTCAAAATCCCGGAACAGTTTCCAGGCCAGACCGAGGCTCTACTGAGGCCTTTCCACGGAGCTAGCTCTGTGGTCACGTGGGTCTGATGCTCATTAATTATACAGAATTTTAGACTTTTAATACACTTAAACAGAAGAGTGAGAAAAAAATTCACCCCCCTCAGAGTTGTCATGAGTGTAAACTAGATCAGTTAAACCAAAAACATGTTCTGGTACCAGGCTGTAAACATGTTTATTTCTGCTGTAAAATTGGTATTTTTAACATGGGAGTCAATGAGGATTTGCTCGCTTCTGACACCAGCCCCTAGTGGATGAGGGTGGAACTGCAATTTTTGGTACTTCCGGGTTTTCCTCAATTTTTGAGCCGCATTGTGGGGGCTTGGTTTCAACCCACTGGATACCAAGGTCATTACAACACCCATCTTTACTAAGACGCTGTTGTAGGTGCCTTTTGTCAGAGTTGGAGGGCAGAGTTTCCTTGAAACGAACCATTTTATTTACAGGTATAAATTCAGGCTGATGAGAATAACTCAAACACGACATAAATGGCATCTCGATAGTGCCGACGGTAATGTTTAATCATATGTTGTATCTACATATGCTTTCAAAGATTTAAAATAGAACTGTTAATTTAGCACTGATGTTGCATTCAGGGACCCGCAGACATCCAGGTTTGGGTTTTATTACCTTTTTTTCTTTTACATTTTGAGTTTTATTTTTGTCCGTCTGGCATGAAAGAAGACTTTTTCTCATACAAACCCGAGACGCTCTGGTGACCCTGATTTGAGGTTATTCCAGGTCATCTGCTTGAGAATCTCCTGGTTTTTTACCTGCTGTCTGTGACTCAGGGTCACGTAACGAGACCGTCACAGATAGCTGGTGCATGTCATCACGGCCCAATCCCAACACTCGCACTTCCACCCTTGTGCCCTTCAATTGCGCGATCCCTACCTGAGTGTGTAGGGTGGGTCGATTCTCAAGTTTGGAAGTTGACCACGCCCCTTTTGCGCTCTTGATGTGCACTTCACTCAAGCCTGCATCGATGCGGACTTTGGTGAAGTGTATTACCCACAATCCATTGCTGCAGGAGAAAAGGCTCAAGTTCCTTTTCTGGAAATATGTATTTTCTAATGAAATTATTCCTTTTAGGACGATTAGTTGATGCTCTGAATGTTTAGCAGCAATGAATTTAAATTTATTTCAAATAACAGTTTGGTTGGTTGTTTTAAAGTTGTTAATAAAGGTTTTTTTTTTTTAAAGTATCACAGCGACCAGCATCCCTGCCTGAAATCAACAATTACTGCTCACTTGTGTAATGAGTTAATTTACATGTTATTTAATGAGCCATAAGACATAAGATTCCATAGTAATATGAAATCAACCTTATGGATCTTTGGGTACTTTTAACCAGAAGATTGGAACTTTTTATTGCAGGGATTAGATAACAGCTTCGTATTCACTCAGAGACAACAGAAGAGAGTCAAGTTTAAAAGTTTAAAGATTTATTACTAAACAAATTAAATTAGACTAACTTAAACACTAAATGTATAGTGTAACTAAGGTGAATGGGACGGAGAATGGTGTAGTGTGGAATGTTGATTAGAACCAGCAAATCCGAAGAAACGATTAGTTCTGGTGGGAAGTGAAGGTGATGTCTTTGCGCTAAGCTTTGGTTAGGAGATTCATAAACACATTCGACGCCATTTGTCGTCTACATACCCTTAGTGGAAGTCCCCGTCTAGATCAGGAGGTGTAGAGGTCCAGCTTGACCTTATGGAGCTGAAGCCTGTAGAAACAGCCGCGGCAGCCGACCACCAGTCTTGAGACACTTCCGGGTCACGACAGTTTTGTTGGCATCTAGCGAGACCCAAACCTGGGTCGTGATGGTTCAGCTTTTATTCTGAAAGGAACCGTTGCAGCAGTTGGAACAGCAACAGATTTTATCCAGCTTGTCGTTGGTTCTTTCGGCTGAAGAGGAAAGTTACGGATTGGCCACTCCGTCAACTTCTCTAGAACGCTTTGAACTGGCGTTAAAGATGGCGTGGGCATAGTTTTATACTTCGGATGTTTTGGTTTATGGTCGAATGAAAAGATGACAGATTTACCAAACACCACCAAAACCACGCCTCCGTCAGATCTGGCAGATTCTGATTGGATCAGTAAAGCAATGTGTCATGTCTTACCGCTACGTGAGATCAGTCCTAGTGGAAACATTTAAAGTCATATTACTTATTATCAGTGTTGGGAGTAACGCGGTACAAAAGTAATTAATTACTGTAATGCATTGCTTTTTGCTGTAATGTGGTAATGTAAGGCATTACAGGGAAAGAAATCAGTAATATTTACTCGGTACAATTGTCAGTAACGCGGTAATTACAACGCATTTTTAAACCCAGAATCAAGATGTGGGTTTCCTAAAAATTCAAATTGCGGGAAGCCTGAAAAAAGATCCTGTATCCACATATATGACGTCATTTATGGACTCAGCTTTGCGGGCATTCTATGAGCAGAGAGGACGCAGCGGTAACGGCTCAAATACTCCAGCTGCGTCCTGCACGCGTTCACTGTTATATTCACAAAATCGCTCCACCAAAACAAAGTAATTCATTTGCGATCGTTTATATCAGTTCATATTCTCTGGTACTTCATGTACTTTTCAGCTGAGTTCAGAATCTGTGCCCCGGTGATTTCAACTCATCGCTACTGGAGCGCAGCGCAGATTAAGCGTTCGGTAGATCCCTTTGGCTGATTAGTTAGAAAGTAGGAAATCTAGGAAACCGTTTTTCTGGAAGACGGAGAAAACATGCAGCATGCAGGAAGGTTAGAGAGAGAAAGGGCCGGAAATTATTCAAATAAAATCAAGAAAAAAGTAGGTAGATTTATCCCCAATAAACATTTTTACCAGTGAAAAGCAATAATATATAAGCATTTAATATTTATACATGTGATAGAATCAGATCACCCCAGAAGTCAGTCCCACGTCCAGGGCCGTATCAAGGCATTTGGGGACCAAGGCAAATACAGGCTTGGAGCCCCCACCACCTCACTCCCTGCTCAGTTGATATAAGATGGCAGCGTGCTGAGAGTACAGATTGTTGTTGCTTTTATTTAATAAACAATCATTCAAAAGAACTGTTTTTAACAGCAATCCTAGCTCAGACACCACATCACCTTCCACATATATGTCATGAGCTCATTGAGCGTCACATGACCAGATTCATACTGAAGTTGTTTTGGTGAAAGTAACTTAAAGTAATGCAAAAGTAGTGTAATGCCTTACATTTTCAAATCATTAATATTGTAATGTAATTAATTACTTTAAAATGAGGGTAACAAGTAATAAATAATGCATTACAGTTTTGAAGTAACTTGCCCAACACTGCTTATTATATTCTATAGGATTATAATAAAGTCATTAATATTGTGATTTCACAGATCGGTCACATCTTATTATTGACTAACACTTTGTTTGATTAGCTTTATTAAAATAGAATTCTTTGATTTATTAAAAGGAGAGAGTCCATTCTTCATTCTTCTCTTGAGCTGGAAAGAAGCAGTTTAGAGCAAATGCACGAGACCTTGAGGCCGTATCTCATGCAGACTAGTTCTGTGTCAGAGGAGAGGGGGAAATGACTTTTGGTGGAAAACAGTCGTTTCATACCGTTACACTTGTGTACCACACACTTGAAGCTTTACTGCCCGCTTTCTCCGAGTGCACTTTGCTGAAGACCGCAGGGCGATATTGGGATTGTGACGTGACTTTTCACTATCAGCTGCCAATCAGAGCTCCGCCGCAGGTGGACGAGCTCAAAGCTTCACTATCACCTTGAACTCCACCAGCAGGTGGTGCTGGTCCAGAATCAGCTCTGACATGAGATAACACACTGCCCCCTAGTGTTCAGCTGCAGGATTGTCATCAAAACATCTCACAGGTGCACCAGGAGATCAAAAACCACAATCTAAGTCCTGAACAGTCACTGGACCTGAATCCCACATTTCAGCAGATCATCAGTCTAGCATGATTCTACTCTGGAGGATCCAAACATGTTCAGCAGGAAGCAGCGATGGCTCCGGATGGTCCAGAACACACTCTCACTGAGCTCTGAGCTCATTCTGCTAAAGGACCATCCAGATGTTTGACCGGCCTACATGGACAGATCTGTTTCTCCTCCTCTGGATCAGTGGTCATCATGGAGTTTGGTGGTCCCCCATTCTAGATGTTCCCACTAATCCCTGTCCCATCCTGGAAGATCCTTCCTCCCCTTAACTCACGGAACAGCTGAATCTCTGGGTTCTTGCTTTGAGGTCAGACCTTTTGGCTCCGCCCCCTCCCCCCTCTATGATCCACCTATAAATCCTTAAACCAAACCAGAAAGGGGCCATTTTTTACCTTTCAGACACAATCAGCTGATCTGCTGAAACAAGTCCCGCTGTCGTTTGTTTGGGTCTGGATGAGGCAGAGAAGTGATCCGATGTGGGAGCAACACAGAACATCAGGCAGAATATTTTTAGGATCTTGTTCCACACCTCCACCTCCTCCATCCCTCCATCACAAGCACTGATGGCTGCGTTCCTCTCTCTCTCTCTCATCACTTTCAGCAGCTTGTGAGGAAGAGTAGTAGGAGGAGGAAACAGGGGAGTAAAGCCGAGCTGAGAGTCTGATTTTTCCTCTCAGCTGGATTCTCCTGCAGCAGCTCAGAACGTTGGAGCTCTGATTCTCTGATGGAGTTGGATTTCCCTTTTCTCCTCCAAACCAAACCACTGCATTCTTCTGGTTTTAGATGCATCATCATCTCCTGCAGGCTATTTCAGAGCACCAGCACGGACTGAATTTACCCAGAAAGCTTTGCTGCTGGATGTCTACAAGACACTGCTCACTGGAATTAGAGAAGATTACCCTCATTAATCCTAAAGAAGGTCTGTGAAGTGATGGAGAAGCAGTTTGGTTGAGGAGGGGAAGGAACCCTGATGAAGAAGCTACCTTCGGACCAGTGAACATCCGTTTGGGTCCATTCTCCACCCATCAGATGTGATGCTTTTATGCCAGTCAGCTGTTCTTTCAGCTTCCAGAGTCAGAAGGTTTCGCTTCTTCAGGAGATGGCGGCAGCCATCGCCAGCTCTCTGATCCGACAGAAACGCCAAGCTCGCGAGGCCAACAACGAAAAGGTTGCCACCAGCAAGAAGCGCTCGAGTCCCAGTAAAGACCCGAGGTCTCTCTGTGAGAGACACGTCTTCAGCGTCTTCAGCAAAGTTCGCTTCTGCAGCAGGAAGAAAAAGCCAGTCCGCCAGAAACCAGGTGGGCCCCGAACCGCCGTGTCTCTGTGAGGACACACCTGCAGGGTCAGCTCAGGCGGATTTTGGTTTGTGGTCTGGAAGCTTCTGAGCTTTTGCTCCGGTTCAGAGAAGCAGCAAGCAAATGAAAACCTGCGAGTTAGGGCTGAGTGATGATGAGTTCACGGGCCAGGGAAACGTGTTGGATTTTGTAGTGCTGTTTGTCAATGATACATTCACAAAATGCTAAAAAAAATCTGATTTTTGAGTTTCAGGCAGGCGGCTCCTGAGCTGCAGCAGAGTTTTGATTCGTTTCCGTTTCAGGTAAAATAAACAAAACCACCATAAGATTTCTGGTTTAAGCAGCTCTGAGGTCAGTTTTGTTTTGTTCCAAAGCTTTTTAAGAAAATTAAATAAACTTTATTTCATCATCGTCAGAAGCTTTAGTAGAAATGGTCTTGGCTCTGATGCAGGGACAACATCTGGATGTGGAGAACAGGATCCATCAGGTGTTCACATTTCACAGCCTTCCATACGAGCCTCATGTCAGCTCCTGTTCGTACCTCCAGAGCTGTTCAGACCTTCTCTTCAGACGTTCCCGTCACATCTGCTGTAGAAACATCTGGATAGATAAGAGGTTCAGCTGAGTTTACAGTTAGTGGTCTAATGAGTGTCTTATAAGAACATCTGTTAGAGGACTCGGACTGATCTCAGTTTGGTTGTTTGCGGATCCTCAGAAGGAGTTTCTGTCTTAAGAGCAACTAAAACACAGATCTGCGGCGTGGTGCATGAGGTTCCTCCGTCCTGGTAAATAATTGATGTAAGAAGAGAAAAGGGCAGTTTGTGATTTTAGTTTCTGCTTTAATAAAAGCGATTCTCCTCGGATAGAAGAACTGCATCGTCTCAGGAGGAAACAGGAACTTAAATAATGATGCTTTTCCTCCTCTGCCCAGAAACCACCACCACCATTACTTTGCTTGTTGAAGCGCCTCGGGATTTTTATCTTGAGAGGCGCTATAGAAATGATATTTTCTTCTTCTTGTTCTATTTTTACACAGCTTAGTAAAGAAATGGTTGTTTACCTGAAATGTTTCGGCTATCGGCCATCATCAGAGTTCGCCGGTGTTGGTGGCGTCACTTCTGCTGCCCGCAGACGCCACCAACACCGGCGAATTCTGACGATGGCCGAAACATTTCAGGTAAACAACTATTTCTTTACAGAGCTGTGTAAAAAAGAACAAATAATGGATTACTAGACTTATCTTGAAATAACTTTTCCTGTGAGAACGGGTTGATACAAACCTTCAAAGTAAAGTACAGAGGTACAGCAAATCATCAAATCAAATCAAAGATACTTTATTGATCCCAGAGGGAAATTAGAGTTTCAGTACACACAATTCAGAGATCAGACATACATGGGCAAAGACACATGACAAGAATTGGTGACTGTGGTCATTCGCAACCCTGAGTCGCGCTACCTTAATAGAGATAAGAGGGTTACATGAGGATTGGTTCAGGTGGAGGGAAAAAAAGGCACTTCAGAGTTACCCTCCATAGGGAGGGCAGATTTGCTCTGCAAAAAAAACACCTCCAACAGGAATGCAACAGACTTCAGACAACACAACATAAGTGTCCACTAGGTAGGGTGGTGGGTTGGGACTATCCCCACTTCAGTTCCTGCAGCCACTACCAGCAGCGCATGTCACCTCAGTGTGAATAGGGGGAGGAGCATTGAGGGTTGGAGGGTTGCAGTGACCCTGGACGCTTCAGCTGCCTTCCCGCAGTCCCGCCCAGGCTGGGAAAGGAAGCAGAGTTGAGTTGCCATAGCGACGGCACATTCCACATATCTTCTGAGGGGGGAGTTTTCGTTGGCGCCAGATTCTGATTAGAAATTGTTTTGGGGCCAGACAGAGATAATTTCCTCTCTGTCTTACAGTCAATCATGTTATGTGTGCCATGAATTAGACCAATCAGTGGCTGGAATAGAGCCACACGGCAGCCCAACGTGCTGCTAACGGCTAATACGGTACACCTGTAGCCTCCTCAGGTTAGGACATGGTTGGTAAAAATAGAAATAAATGAGCACCAATAAAAAGACATGGTTACAGTGAATGACATCGCTGACAGTAACGGACCAAACGGGCGTGTGTCCGTCTGGTTAAAGTCAGACAAGCTGCTCGTTAAACGGTGTCGAGACCAGGTTCTGACAAAGTTTGAGAATCCGTTGATCTGTTTTAGCTCCTGAACCAGTCCCGCCTAGCCTGGCAACCCTTTCTATCTCTCTGACTATGGCCACGACTGGCTCAGTCGAGAGGCCAAATCTAAACGTCTCCACACACAAATGGACCAATCAGAGCAACGACCAGCGTGACGTATTCATTGTTACATCAGTCAGTCAATGGGGCAGTCCACCACGCACCACTGAAGAAGAAGAAGCAACATTTTTCTAAATAAACCTCCGTCTGTTCATGTCTCAAGGAAAGGTTTAAGTCATCCAAAGTTGAAGCCAAAGCCGTTTAAAATGGACGCCATCCCAGCTCTAGTGTTAAGCCAGGCCAACAAACGTAGAGCGCTGTGATTGGCTAGACGCGAAACAGTTTGGCCAATGGTGGACACGCGGACGATTCCATCTTTTGCTACTGCTCTGGTTCGTCTAGATTTCTAGGCTAAATTGGAGCTGCAGGATGTAAAAGTTTATAATCCCGGAGGATAGTGAGTACTAAACACACACACACACACACACACACACACACCATAGAGGCAGCATTCTCCAGCGTAAAGTCTCATGATAAGAGAGTATAACGAAGCGAAATGTCTGCTCTTTCGGAGCGTGGACGTCTTTTTATTCATGATTATTAAAGGCTGCTTAAATGTTCACAGATGTAAAACATTCTTTTTCTTTTTTATTGCTTATTGTTGAAGAAAGTAAAGTGAGCAAAGTGATTTTGAGGATTGATATTTCAATGCCGGGCTGCGCAGAGGTGCAGTGGTTAGAGCTGTTGCCTTGCAGCGAGAAGGTCCTGGGTTCGATTCCCGGCCTGGGATCTATCTGCATGGAGTTTGCATGTTCTCCCTGTGCATGCGTGGGTTCTCTCCGGGTTCTCCGGGTTCCTCCCACAGTCCAAAATCATGACTGTCAGGGTGATTGGTCTGTGTGTGTGTGTGTGTGTGTGTGTGTGTGTGCATGATTGTTTGTCCTGTGTGTCTCTGTGTTGCCCTGCGATGGACTGGCTCTCTGTCCAGGGTGTACCCCGCCTGATTGCCCGTTGACTGCTGGAGATAGGCACCAGCCCCCCCCCCCCCCCCCCCCCCCCCCGCAACCCTGCGTGGACAAAGCGGGTTCAGAAGATGGACGGATGAATATTTCAATGCCTGTTTCACTGATTTGACACCAACATCTCAGCTTTGTTCTGTTCTTCTCCGACGCTTGAAGAGTTTAGTTTCAAATAAAACTCTTAAAGAGAAACTGCTTTTTGCTTGATGCTTAAAATAAATAAACCTTTAAACCTTCTGCTACCTTCAAATCTAACGCCGCAGCAGAGGACATCAGAGTTAGACAGAAACAGTCATTTCTTTTATATCCAGATGTTTATTTATAGTCATGGATGAAAAAATGATCACATGATGTGAAGTCGTCGATGCCCAGCCCTGCTGACCAGTTAGTTACTTATCTAGTTAGGTAGGGTTACTACCGGTGATGAGTGAACTAATCTGTTGATTTGTTCATTATTTCTGCCCCCCGCCTCCCTCTTTCACACACACACACACACACACACACACACACACACACACACACACACACACACACACACACACACGTTTCTCACACCTCTGTGGCTCTCTGCTTGCAGATCCCCAGCTGAAGGGCATTGTGACTCGTCTCTACAGCGAGCAGGACTTCTACCTGCAGATGCTGCCTGATGGGGCCATCAGCGGCTGTAAGGACGAGAACAGCGACTACAGTAAGTCCCTGCACTCGGGTCAAAGGTCAGGGCGTCCATTCTGGATGTTGAAGCCCCAGCAGTCAGAGTTTTTTTTTTTTTTGTTGTTGAATCATGGAGAGCTGCTTCAGTAAAACCAGAAGCAAAAGGAGGACAAGAGGAGGGGGAGGCAGAGGAGGAGGAGATGTTTGGTTTTTTCTCTGATCATCTGAGTTAAATAAAGGAGGATTAACGGCAGCATTGCCGTGGGCCTCTTTCTCCTCCTCATCCTCCTCACCCACACAGCAGCTCTCAGTCCCAGAAGATTAAATCACCCCTCATCACTCGGTCCTCCATCTCCTCCTTATCCTTCTCCTGCTTCTCCTCTGTCTCCTGCAATCCCTCCCACTCGCCTTCATTCAGGATTTTCTCACAGTTCTTCAGAAACACGTCAGCAGGCGGATTTTAGCAGATGGAGCTTTTTGTTCTTTTAACTGAAGGAAGGATTTAGTCATTAGGAGATAAAACCACCAGTGCTTCTGCTGCTGATGGTTCTGCTGCTGATGCTTCTGCTACTGATGCTTCTGCTGCTGATGGTTCTGCTGCTGATGCTTCTGCTGCTGATGGTTCTGCTGCTGATGGTTCTATGTGGTTCTCCAGCTCTGTTTAACCTGATCCCGGTGGGTTTACGGGTCGTTGCCATCCAGGGAGTGAAGGCGGGACTCTACGTGGCCATGAATGCTGAGGGATTCCTCTACACATCAGTGAGACCCAGCTACACACACACACACACACACACACACACACCCAGTACCGCTATTAACTGACTGGGTGGATCTGAGATATAGGAACCAGATAAATGGCTGTTTAGCAGAAGAAACAACCGTTTATATAGCGCCTCAGAAGGTGCTTCACGAAACAAAAATTAAAAAGATTAAAAAATGACAATTAAAAAAACTATTGGGAAAAGTAAAAAAAAAGTGATTAAAAAATGTGACAAAAGAAAAAGAAAGAGAAGGTAGCGATGAAGAATCAACTGAAGGTCCCACCAAAGCTTGAACAGGTGAGTCTTCAGCTGCTTTTAAAGGAGACCACTGAGTCCACCGATCTCAGGCTCAGGGGGAGAGAGGTCCAGAGTCTGGGGGCCACAGCAGCAGATGATCTGTCACCTTTGGTCTTTAGTCACCGGACCTCAGGGACCTGCTGGGGGTGAAGGGACTGAGAAGATCACCAATGTAAGATGGTGCTTGTCCATGTAAGGCCCTATGGACCAGAACCAGGATCTAGAAATGAACCCTGAAGGTGACTGGCAGCCAGTGAAGCTGGAGGAGAAGCGGGGTGATGTGGGCGTGTTTGGAGGACTTGGTCAGAAGCCGAGCACAGGCGTTCTGAACCACCTGTAGACGGTTCAGGGAGGTTCTGCTCAGACACGTGAAAAGAGAGTTACAGTAGTCTAAGTGTGAGGAGATGAAGGTGTGGAGAACTGTCTCAAGTTCAGAGCGGGACAGAATGGGACTCAGCTTAGCAACGTTCCTGAGATGGAAGAAGGAAGAGCGAACAAGAGAACTGACATGAGAATCCAGGGTGAGAGCTGATGGCTGTGCTTCATTCAGGAATCGCGACTACAACACCTGAAGGATTGAGGTTACGCATCTACCTTCACAAAGATGATCAGGTTCTGTTTGTGTTGCTGTTATAGGGTGGGGGAGGGGTTGGTTCTGCTCTGATTGGCTCTCGTTGACCACCTGTTATGTCCAGAGGGCTCAAACACACACCTGTCAAGTCAAGGTGCTGAATGGAGAGCTTTCTCCGCTCCAGCCGAGTCCTGTTTGGCTTCAGATCAGCCAGCCAGCAGGTCCAGGCTGAAGGACAAAGAAAACGTCTCAGAGCTGCATGAGGATTAGGCTTAGGGTAGATAAGTCCTCGTGATTCAGCAGGTAGCTACGGGACGACTAGTTAATAACAGTTATCTCACTTAGTCTTTAGCCGCTGCAGGTTACCTGAAAGACGTTTGACTCGATTCCCTCACATAAAAATAAACAAGCGTCCAAATGCAGCATCAGAACCTGGGAGCCCTCGACGCTCTGCTTCCTGGTGAGGCTCGTCTGTAGGCTCGTGATGATCAGCTGACGGGTTTTAACAGCTGTCTGCACCCAGCCAACGAGTGTGTGTGTGTGTTTGTGTGTGTGTGTGTGTGTGTGTTCGTGTGTGTGTGTGTGTGTGTGTGTGTGTGTGTGTGTGTGTGTGTGTGTGTGTGTGTGTAACTTAGCCTCCAGTTTAATGTGAAACACGAGCGATGCAACACCTTCCAGCCTGTGAAGATGACTGTTTTTTTTATTCATCAGACAAAATAAAATCTATTTTTATTTCAATCGAAGCGACTGAGTGCAGCAGGTTTGGACGGATGGTAAAGTCCTGTTCATGGTGGTGCTGTAGTCCCTCTCTTCCATCAGAGATGAAGCTGATGGAAGAATCTACAAACGTTCAAAATGCCGCAGAAAAGAGAAACCCCTTCAGAATAAAAGCGGTGTACAGTTGAGGCGTGCACACGACATGCGATCACACAGAAACGTTTCAGGTGGGACTTTATTTTCTTCATCAGCCGATCTAGTGGAATTTAAAATGCCCGCCCCGCCGGTTGCCAGAGCGTTCACGTTAACCGGCTTGCAATTACAAAACTCTCCCTACAGTTTAAAATCTCGATGCTAAGTGTTCTTCTTACAGAGCCAAACTTTATTTTCTGTCTCTGTTTGTGTCAGGATATTTTCACACCAGAGTGTAAGTTCAAAGAGTCGGTGTTCGAGAACTACTACGTCATCTACTCATCCACGATCTACCGGCAGCACGAGTCGGGCCGCGCCTGGTTCCTGGGTCTCAACAAAGAGGGAACCATCATGAAGGGGAACCGTGTGAAGAAAACTAAACCGTGCTCGCACTTTGTCCCCAGACCCATCGAAGGTAAGGAAACCCCCGTGAACAGGACACGTGTCAGATTTACACAATGTGGCATAATAACCCCAACTAAAAATGATTTACAAAAGAAAAACAACACTTTTTGAACATAAATATATTTAAAGGGACATTATGGAAGTGTGACAGCCAAAACATGTATAGAAATAATAAATGTCTTCTTCATACATTCTCCTGCAATGCCCTGGTCCTGTAGAATGAGCCCTGGCATTTTTACTGTGATTGCCTGTTTTTCTGTAAAATCACAGAAAAAGAGAGATGCTCGGGTCGAGCAGGCTGCTTCATGCGCGTTCACGCTCAGGCATCGCCCGTAGCATTTGCTATCCGTAGCTTTAGCAGCAGAGAGAGAGGCAGTGCCACTTTGTCGCTGTTCCTAACGCCTAGTGACAAAGCTAGCTACATTTCTGAGGACCCTTAGCTACTTTCTGTAGAACTTTCTTCTAGATATTTCCTGCTAATTAGCAACAAAATAGCCATTTTCACTCCGAACCGTTCTTTGAACGTTGTTTCAGCTGTCATCAAGGATGTAAATGTTACAGATGCTGTGAATGTCACTGGTGTGTAGCTCACCTAAGATGTCTGACTCTCATGCAGAAGACCTGGGTTTGATGCTGGATGTGAACATAGTTTATTTAGAGTTTATTTTTTACATTAATGGTTTATTTTTTTTACAGTAAGATGCCCAAATTTTTATTTGAGACTCGCCGAACGGCATTGAATTCACAGATAAAAAAGATGTGGGTTCAACTTTCATTTTGGAACAATTTTTCAAGCAAGGGAAGGGAATGATCTGAGCATGCAGGAGGACTGACCCATCATAAACCTTTGTCGGCTGTGCTGAAGAGAAAGGTACAGAACCACATTATTTAATTAATTAGCTGCACGTTCTCCTGTCCTCTGTCCTCGGGGCCACACACACACACACACACACACACACACACACACACACACACACACACACACACACACACACACACAAAAGGGACTGTCTCAGCTGTTATTTTCGTTAAGGAGTGTGCACGTATATGGCGTTTAAAGCGTGCCACAACCCGTGCACGCGCATTGGTTCCACAGCGCGCGTGTGAACGGGACTCGCGAGCGCAAATATACATGGCAGCGCGCGTGTGAACGGGACTCGCGCGCGTGTGAACGGGACTCGCGAGCGAAAATATACATGGCGAGAGGTCATTTGTGCACTGAGAGGGAGCAAACTGTGTCTGTGAGCGCACAAGGATGTGCACAAGTGACAAACCTGCGTGCGCGCGTTGTCAACGAGCACACGGCAGAGGAAAACATGCGCGCGCGGCAGCCTCTGTGCGCGCTCGGCAGCCTCTCTGCGTGCTCGGTTTCTGACTCCTGCTCGCTCGGCTGTAAGGGCTTTTGGCACTCTGGAGGCGTGGCCTGTGGCAGATCTTGTCTGTCCTCTGATTGGTTAGTTCACCCCGCACTTTACCCTCTATATATATAAAAAAGTCTGATGTTCAGTAGTGGCTGGCATAGCTCAGCTGGGAGAGCGGGTGACTCTCGCCCCGGAGGATCCAAGTTCGAGTCCGGCCAAGGAAAATGTAGTAGACGTCATGTTAATTTTTCTTAATTTCAGGTATTTTACAGTTGTGACCGTTCAACTGTCATTAAACGTCCGAATGTTTGCTGGGCAGTGTTTTAAAAAGTGCACATAAGCTAGATGGTTTTAACCATATAAAATTACATTTTTTGTGATACTGGAAAAATACATACTGAAATAAAACTACTGATTGAAAACTTTATGACTGTGGTTGTACAATATATGACTCACTAATACACTGCAAACGCCCTTAGAGTGGGGCTTCCAGAGAGAGAGAGAGAGAGAGAGAGAGAAAAGTTCTTGCCTCATTAATGAATTGTTTATTTTTTTCAGTATTTAAATGACAAATTATCCTTTCAAATAATTAATTGATGAGTTACATAATTGTCCATTTAGAATTGTTGAATGGACTGAGTCAAGTTTGGTGCACTTTATATATTTCAAAACATGTTTTTTTTTATTTTAATGATGCATATAAATAATTTAAATGTTAATTTAATGATAATTTCTATTTTTTCATTACCTCACCCTTGTTTTGACAAAAACGGGACCTTGCTGGATAATATCATGGAGAAACTATTTGTTCACAGTACATGGCTCAGTGAGGATCTGTGTACCAAAGGAGGAGATACTCAGAAATCTGTCTGCAGATTGTTACAACCCAGACTGGAAGTGGTGGGCTGTAATAAGAAAGGAGACCAAACAGAGGAGTGGGGGTTCAACAACTGATTTATTTAACAAAAGTAAGGATTTACTAAAGCAAGTTAGTGAACAGAAAATGGCCATCTCAAGGTTTTACTCGGATGTCCCTCAGCAGGGTGCAGCACTGTTGAAGGTCATCTGAATGAAAGCTTGATATGCAGTTTCTTTATGAAATGGACAATTATGTAACTCATCAATTAATTATTTGAAAGGATAATTTGTCAATTAAATACTGAAAAAAATAAACAATTCATTAATGAGGCAAGAACTTTTCTCTCTCTCTCTCTCTCTCTCTGGAAGCCCCACTCTAAGGGAGTTTGCAGTGTATTAGTGAGTCATATATTGTACAACCACAGTCATAAAGTTTTCAATCAGTAGTTTTATTTCAGTATGTATTTTTCCAGTATCACAAAAAATGTAATTTTATATGGTTAAAACCATCTAGCTTATGTGCACTTTTTAAAACACTGCCCAGCAAACATTCGGACGTTTAATGACAGTTGAACGGTCACAACTGTAAAATACCTGAAATTAAGAAAAATTAACATGACGTCTACTACATTTTCCTTGGCCGGACTCGAACTTGGATCCTCCGGGGCGAGAGTCACCCGCTCTCCCAGCTGAGCTATGCCAGCCACTACTGAACATCAGACTTTTTTATATATATAGAGGGTAAAGTGCGGGGTGAACTAACCAATCAGAGGACAGACAAGATCTGCCACAGGCCACGCCTCCAGAGTGCCAAAAGCCCTTACAGCCGAGCGAGCAGGAGTCAGAAACCGAGCGCGCAGAGAGGCTGCCGAGCGCGCACAGAGGCTGCCGCGCGCGCACGTTTTCCTCTGCCGTGTGCTCGTTGACAACGCGCGCACGCAGGTTTGTCACTTGTGCACATCCTTGTGCGCTCACAGACACAGTTTGCTCCCTCTCAGTGCACAAATGACCTCTCGCCATGTATATTTTCGCTCGCGAGTCCCGTTCACACGCGCGCGAGTCCCGTTCACACGCGCGCTGTGGACCCAATGCGCGTGCACGGGTTGTGACACGGGTATGACGCGATACACGTATAGCATGCGCGCCTCATGCACGAGCCTACTATTGAAGCTGCCGTTACGCTTTTGGCCTGAGGGGGCAATCGCGAGCATAAAGATTCAAAACTCCATAAAGTCCCTTTAAAATTTGCAACTTTAAGCAGCTTGTTGTTTTTCGTAGAAGAAGTGCTTTGAATTTTGACAGCAGAAAGACTGTTGTATTTGTAGAGCTATTCATGTTTGATTTAATCATTTTCTGCTAATATCCGCATTCCCTGGGGAAAATATGCATTTTCTTTTTGCTAAATTAAATATTTTTGGTCATTTTTAAACCTAATAATAAAAACATAATAGTGTTTGTTTTTTTAACAAACCCCTTTAGGGAAAGGTCAAATTTAAAAAATGTTTCTAAAATAACTTTTTATTTTCTGTGGCTCTAATCCTCTTCCAGAAGTATTTTTCCAAAACTATAGATTGTCTCTTTTCATGTCCTGTAACATTTTCAGCTCTAAACAAGATTTATTCCAATGGATTACCTTTGAAAACAGCTTTTTGGATTGTCCAAAGATGGAATTTTCCCTTTAGTTTACTGAAGGAGTAAATCTAATCTGAGAATCCAAAAGGAGTCTACCTGAGAGAAAAACGTGTTGGTTTTGAACACCTGGGTGCAGCACGACGAGCCAAATGACGTTTTTGCTGATTTCATAGCTGAAAAAGGAGCCTTCGGTGTCGGGATAAGTGAGAACAGCTGCTGATTGTGTCGCAGGAGCTTTTGAGTTTTAATTCTCAAAGTTCTTGAGAGTTGCTCTGGGTTAGGCTTGTCCTGGTTCTCCTGAGGGTCTGGAGGGCTCAGAGGTGACTCACCCATCTCACCAGAACCTACTCTAAGGACAAGGTGAAGCTCTAATATCACAGATTGAGGTTTAACAGGAAACACGAGGCTCTGTCTCTGCTTTCAGTTGCTCTGCTCACTTCCAGCAATCACCTTCTTCTTTTTGTCCGCCTCGTCTTCACATCTCATCCCTCTCCTCTCCTTTCTGCCCTCCTCCACCCTCAGTGATCATCCTGCAGGGCTCCTCGTTTCCATTGTTCATCCTCTTTGTAGGAATGTAACATGTTTTATTGGCTTTTTCATTTTGTTTTTAACATTTGTTAAAGGGACTTTACAGAGTTTTGAATTTTTATGCTCGTGATCGCCCCTCAGGCCAAAAGCGTAACGGCAGCTTCAATAGTAGGCTCGTGCACGAGGCGCGCATGCTGTACGTGCACACTCCTTAACGAAAATAACAGCTGAGACAGTCCCGTGCGTGTGTGTGTGTGTGTGTGTGTGTGTGTGTGTGTGTGTGTGTGTGTGTGTGTGTGTGTGTGTGTGTGTGTGTGTGTGTGTGTGTGTGTGTGTGTGTGTGTGTGTGTGTGTGTGTGTGTGTGTGTGTGTGTGTGCAACATGTTTTGACAGCTTGCCAAAAGATGCGATGGGAGCAGAGTTTCCCTCCGATGGCCAGTCAGAGTTAGGCTCAGCTGAATTACTCAGGAAGTGATGCTGTTTTAAATAATGGCCATATCTTGGTTTATTAAATCAGAACTTGCCCTGTAAAGGGGTTTTGCCAACAACTCAGATACACACCTCCCTCAGATATGATGCTGATTTTGTCTGTAAGAAAATATCTATGTGCAGTGACGTTAATTATAACTTGTGTCATGGAGGTACGGTGAGCGTGTCTTGTCCAGTCAGTGCGCTGATTAAATATACGGGTCATATATTTCATTTCATCCTTGTTAATCTTTCATTGTAATAATAATATTCATTTCAACTTCAGTAATTTAAGCACAGATTAATCAAAACATTTCATTTAACCATATTGTCCATTTCATTATGTGCTTAGTTATTTATATAACATCTGTTCATTCAACCATATTATTATTTAATGGTTATTTAACTTATGAGTTGTAAAAGTTCTTTCATGAGAGTGAGCAATCCTGCGGTCTTATCAAATGAAGGCTTTGTTTGGGAACATAGGCTGACATCCTGTTCCCCCTGAAATGTCTCAAGGGCTGCAGAATCTTCTGGGCTTTAGAAGACAGGATAGAAACTCCACTCTGATGGTGGAATTATGTCTGCAGGTGACCGGACATTGTGTAGGTCAACATGTAGGTGAAAAGTGACCCTTTTTGGACGTTACTATTTGTTCACTCTTTATTTACTTAACTGAGGCAAATTTCTGTTTGTTTGATCAACTGTAGACTACATATCTTTAATCACTGTAATGCCTTAGATTGATTTTAAAAAGATCACTATGTTAAATGAGCTGGCTCCTTGGAAAGTGTCAAGAAGCTCTGAAACATTCAGTTTGGTTGCTGATTGATTAATCTGGACTTTTTAAATTTGGGACCCAGTAATAATAACAAGTACTCCAAAAGTCGGTTGTTCTACGAGATCATTTCGAGGTTTCTCAGTCAGACTGAAGTTCAGTCCTGGACCTAGTCTTAATGGTGGTAGTTGGTTGGACAAGGGGGCGTTCTTAGGGCTGGACTCAGCTCAGCCACTAGACTGATGTCATGTTGGTTGGTACTGCCTCCGGCTTTTCCCAGCAAGCAGCACAATGCTCCACCTGACATAAATGAAAGCTGAAAGGTAATATTTTTGTTTTCTCACTCCTTCTGCAGTCTGCATGTACAAGGAGCCATCTCTGCACGAGCTTGAAGAGAAGCTGCTGAAGTCCTCACGAAGCCCGACACTGAACAGCGGCCGTGCCAGGAGCCTTGACCGACCATCGCGGCAGGCTGCCGACTCCTCCACAGAGCGAGAGGCGTCGTAGCCTGCAGTGCCCTCTGCAGGAGGAGGATGACTAGGAGGAGAACTCCCATTATACACTTCCTCTGTTCAACAACTACAACCACACCAACAACCACCAAGAAAACAATGGCAAAACGAGAATAAGAAGCTAAAAATCCAGAGGAAGTTTCTCTTGCTTGTGATGAAATATTTTAAGTCAACGGGGAGGGGTGAGGGGATTGCTCGATAATGAAAAAAAATCAGGACGTAGATGATGGAGTTTTACATTTTATGCAAAAAGTCCTGCTGAATTGGTGCCAGGAGGCTAGCACACCTACTCTCCATCAACACATTGTAATCATTTCCTTCACAACGACAAAAATGCTTGCCGAGTCGAGTGTTGAGAACTCTGAAGCTTTAAGCCATGTAGAAACTTCACTTTCTGTCATTTCGTAATGTATGCAGAAATTTTCGCACTTTTCACACGCTGTGCTTCTTATTCTTCTCTCTGTAGTTCAAGTCTAATCAGGAGAAGATTCTGTTTTGTCTTACTTAGCTGCCACATCTTGATTGATTTAGTTGTTTTTATAGGTTTGAGACTTATTTTAGGTCTAGTCACAGACACTGCCGATTAAAAAAGTCCAAAAGCGAGTAAGTCCAGAAAGACTTCTGGTCCGCCTGGGTTGGACTGCTTCCACTGAACAGGGACCATCGGGTAACCTGTTTTTGATGTTACAAACCAGAGGATTGGAGTCCCCTTTGGGTTTGTTTCCGTTCACAACAGTTGCATTTTTGCATGCTTGAAACTAGCCAACAGTGTTAGAGTGATTTCTCCCCTTCCACAAAGTTGCTCCTTTCTCTGAAAATCATCTTCAGTTGTGACATCTCTGCAGGAGGATTAAAAATAGGCTTGGTATCAAGAAGGTTTGGGGTAAATAAAAACGTTCAGAATCGCTTTAATATTACGTAATTGTTGGTAAACCTATTAGGACATATTCATTAGGATTTATATTTATTATAAACAGAAATACTCCAACTAAACCTTAACCTAACCCCAAGATCCAGGTTCAGGCCTTTGCACAACAAGTCTGTACTTAACATCTCATATTTTTACTGGGTAAAAAACAAAAGTAAAATATTAAAGCAGTTATTTACACACTAATGCTGGAGCTGTCCTCCAGTTTTTCAGATTTTCATTTAATGGTTGACTGGTTTAAAGGGATACTAAACAGATTAGGCTTGCTTTTAGCACCCCCTAGTGTCCGTTAGTAAAAACAAAATTGAAACTTATCTCCTCGCTGTGTGTTCGTCTTAATCTGACTGCTGAAATGTCTCCTCAGCCTTTACTCGTTTCTACGGGAGCAATCCATCACTAAATTAAACAAATCAGCTGTGTTCTAGATCAAAAACATGCAGGAAATGTGCTGGAAGCAGACTAAAAAGCCAAGCATGTTAGCTTCACTTTACTAAGTCCAACCGGGACAGGAAGTTGCAAGTGCCATGTTCTGGTCACGGGGGCGGTGGGGGTCTGAGTGACATTTCATTGAACCTGTAAAAGGATCATCTTAGCACATACTGGCTCAAGAAAATGATTTTAAAATATGAAAAGGTTGATTTGAATGCCTTTAAAAAGTCACAATATTGTGTTTTTTCTCCTCTGGTCAACCTAAAACTGCAGCAAATGATGATAAAAGTGTCAGATTTTAGATATGACAGTCATACTAAGTTAGTAGACAAAGCAGAATACGTCTAATATTTAGTATGATTCTTGATCTTTGGTGAGCTAAAGACCAGACAGACCCACTGCTGGCAGCTTTTAGCGATCATTTTTAAAATGTGTACAGATGTTGTGTGCAAAGGTCTTTGTGCCTTGTTTCAACATTCATGTATTTATAACATCCAATCATATAGGCATTGTTGCAATCAGACAGGTGTGAGGAAGTTCACCTTCTTGTCTAGATTTTATGTCAAATATATAGAAAATTGTTGCATGAAGTTTGTTAATCATATAGGCAATGCTTGACAGCAAAAAAAATGATGGGAAGCTGTACAACAGAATTCTCAAATCTTCAACATCTCAGTTCCTAAATTACATCATTTTTTTATTTCAAAGACTTATAGTAGAAGTTGTTGCATTACTCACGTATTCTACAAATATACTCACAAAACTGCTCTTTTTTCAGAAGCTGTTGAAAAACATTCATCCTAAAACAGGTGTTGTTCCTTGTGTTGACCACTAGGTGGCATATTCCATAACTCGGATAGAATTTCACACACAAAACATGTCCGTGTTAAAAGGATGCATTAGGCATTAACCAGAACCTTATAAATGATGCCTGTCCTCATTAGGACTGAGATGTGGTTCCAGTAAGATCTCATGGTCTTCTTACTGATGGTTACCTCTCAAGGTCCCCAAAAGTAGCAAAAATAGGAACATGCACACACTTATTCAGGAAACAGCATCCAGGAAACGCTGAATGAAGAGATAATTGAAAAAAGGTGATCAATTAATGACTGCAACTACTGTGACTCTGCAGCAGACAGGAAAGTAAAGAAATTAAGTACAACCAACTTTTCTAATGAAATTGGATTATTTGAGGGTGGCAACTCACATCAGTAGATTGAAAATGTAGCAACTGTTGAATCTGTAACGCTTTTGTTTGCAAATTTTGTAGTTGAAGCATTGAAGCAGCTGAAACACCCCCGCCCCTTCAAAAACAGTTAAACCCAGAAACATCGAAGCACAGAAGCAGGGACGGATGATTTCCACAGAAACAGCTCACGGTGTAAACTTTCAAATCGAGAGGTGAAAAAGGAAAAAAGCTGAAGTGTCTGTGATGAGGCTGTGGAAGTGCTTCGTGATGCGTTCAGGGCACGTGCTTCCCAGCGCTGAAACGTTGTAGACAGTAATATTGCATGATTTATTGTCTAAAAGTACAACGGCACTTGCAAGCACTTAGATTTTTAATATTTTATTGAACACTAACAGCAAAGTTGTGTTACTCTGATCCAGCCTGAAAGGGACTGGAGAGGCCCCGCCCACACAGCTGTAACCTTAGATAAGACCATGTAACGTGCTTTATGATTAATGGTCTGCTATGTCATAATATGCCAATGGATGAGGTTTTAAGCATCGGGCTGACAGGTTAAACATATGACTGCTTTCTTTTACTGTTGTGAGGTTCTCAGGATGCTGATTGGTGTAGAGTAATTAAGACCACGCCCCTTTCAGTGTATTAGATAACCATGGGAGGAGTTTGTTTATGGATTGTGTAAGGAATTTCAGAGGTGTGAGGGATCTCATTTGGATCAGAATCAGCTGGTCCTCCCCTGGTTCTGACTTCATCGAGGTGCGTTTTTGTGTCAGCTGATGGGAGGTTTTGGTAGCAGGTTTTAACACTGCCCTGAAAACTGAAGCTATTTCAGTTCGACGTCACATGAACCTCATGGGCCAACTAAAACACTTCCTGCGACTTCCAAAATAAAAGACAGAAAACCAGACAAACATCAGAAAAATCTTAAAGCAACTTCACTAAGATTGTCCTTCCAGTTTATGTCCCCGCCTCCTACCCATCTTGGATCGTGATGTTCAGACTGAGTCACTGCACTGCCCTTTGACCTTAGTCCTCCTCTCAGACTCAAACCCTTTAACTCCTTTCTGAGTTACCAGCCGGGCCTCATAAAAACATGCTGTCAGCATCCAGAAGCTTTCACTGCCTCCGCCGAGAGATAAACACCTGAGAGTCACCTGAGCATCGTTTTGGTTCTGTTTGGCTTTCATTCGTCAGAACTCTGGTCCCATCGGGTTTTACAGGTTTGGATAAGAGTTTTGAAACACCGGACAGCTTTTGATTCGAGGGTTTTTAGGAAGACAGGTCGCCTCCCGTCGGCTGACAGACTAAAACTAGCAAAACTGGTTTTTAATCAGTGATTGTTTTTTGCTGCACATGGAGAACAATGATCACTCTTGTCAGCGCATGCCTCACACAGTTTAAGATGTCCTAGTGGGCGGGGCCAAGGAAAGTGACTCTCATTGGCTGCAGGCAGCAGGCGTTCAGTTCTGTTGCTGAATAAAAACAGTCAAAATAAAGGAAACGTATGAACCAATCAGAAGCCACTCATCTGCCTCGGAGAAAGTCGAGAAAGTCTTCCATTTTTGTGTTTCTGTTAGACCACAAGGATTGTAGAGACCAGCAGGACCAGACAGGAGGTTTCACCATTTCTTGGTCCAGAATGTTCCGAGTGAAATTGTCTATAATGTTGCTCTGAGAGAGAAATACGGGTGTTTTCTGTTGCATGTTTTGCTCTGGACCTGTAGGGGGCGCCGTTGCTGCAGGGCCCATTTCGTCCTGGGTTTGTTGGGGGCACTGTTATCCTGCAAACGGGAATGGAGGACTGAAAACTGTGTCCGCACCTTCTCTGAGACTTCATTTAAATGCTTCATGTAGAAAACCATCGCAAAAACGCAGCAGGAAGAAAAATATAAATAAAAACAAAACAACATGACAACACCAGAGTCTGACATCTTTGTTTTCCATCATCAGGTTCCATGATTGTTTTCTTAGGTTATATCAGGGCCCTGGCTCTCCAGAGGTCATCTTGGGTTTTATCAGGGCCCTGGCCCCCCAGGGATCCTCTTGGGTTATATCAGGGCCCTGGCCCTCCAGGGGTCATCTTGGGTTATGTCAGGGCCCTGGCCCCCTAGGGATCCTCTTGGATTATATCAGGGCTCTGGTCCCTCAGGGGCCCTCTTAGGTTACATCAGGGCCCTGGCCCTCCAGAGGTCATCTTGGGTTATATCAGGGCCCTGGCCCCCCAGGAATTCTGTTGGGTTATATCAGGGTCCTGGCCCCCCAGGGGTCCTTTTGGGTTATATCAGGGCCCTGGCCCCCCAGGGGTCATCTTGGGTTATATCAGGGCCCTGGCCCCCAGGGGTCCTCTTAGCTTATATCAGGGCTCTGGACCCCCAGGGGTCCTCTTGGGTTATATCAGGGCCCTGGTCCCCAGGGGTCCTCTTGGGTAATATCAGGGCCCTGGCCCCCCAGGGGTCCACTTGGGTTATATCAGGGCCCTGGCCCCCCGGGGGTCATCTTGGGTTATATCAGGGTCCTGGCCCCCCCAGGGGTCCTCTTGGGTTATTTCAGGGCCCTGGGCCCCCAGGGGTCCTTTTGGGTTATATCAGGGCTCTGGACCCCCAGGGGCCTTCTTAGCTTATATCAGGGCCCTGGTCCCCAGGGGTCCTCTTGGGTAATATCAGGGCCCTGGCCCCCTAGGGATCCACTTGGGTTATATCAGGGCCTTGGCCCCCCAGGGGTCCTCTTAGCTTATATCAGGGCTCTGGACCCCCAGGGGCCCTCTTAGCTTATATCAGGGCCCTGGTCCCCCCAGGGTCCCAACGATCATTAAACATCTGAATATTTGCTGGGTCGCTTTAGCAGGTTTAAATAACGTACCTGTAACTTAAAACACCATTCAAGTTCCCCAGAAAACTTGATAAGCCTTGTGGGCCGGACCGTGAGAGCGGGGGTGGGGTGGGGGTGGGGGGTGGGGGTTGCTGTACTCTGTTACTGTTTGTCATTAGTATCAGCAGATGAGAGGTCCACGATTCGTTTTGCTGCTGTGCGTCGTCCATGTCAGCGGAGAAGCTAGGGCCGGGGAGGGGTGGTGGGGACCACGCTTAGCCTGGCAGCCCCACAGGCCCATAAAGCCCTGGGGGAAACCCTGCCCTTTATGCACACATTCTTCTTGCAAAACAGGCAGAAATCACCCGAAGACATGGGAATTCCAGCGTCAGTGAATGAATGAAGCTTGAGCGAATTGTTGTTTTCAGGTTCACATGGTTTGAGTTGTTACTGGGATTGGCTAATGACAAAACATGGTAGCCAGCGCCAGCCGGGCACTACCTTGCGTGTCCTCGAATCAGTTCAAAATATTCTACCAGATAGCCCTCCCTCTCTCAGACGGTTTCTGCTACAGATATTCCAGATCCAAATGCGTACACTAGACACGGGACGGGACTACCTGGCTCCTGCCAGGTTAGCTTGGTATCTGACCGAGGTTCACGCTTTGCTTGTCCACCGCGGTGATATATCTGCAAGTCCGTCGTTCTCTGCTTCGGTGGTGAGTGCGACACGAAACTATGAACCGAGCCCTAGAGCCACGTGCGTTGACAACGGCGCATTCGCTGACCTTTGACCGCAGTGGACCAGCGAAGCCCAATATCCTCGGTCAGCTTACCTAATTATGAATTTGATACTAAGCAGGCCGGAGCTGCTATCACATAGGGGTTGATCTACCGCGGTTTTCTGGTTAAAATCGCCCGAAAACTCTGTTAGCCTCCAGTTAGTATGTAGCTACCGCTGACCTCCGACCGTGGAGGACGAGCTGATCTGAAAGGCCAGGGCTCCCAGTCGCAGCGGTCTGGCTCTGCTTGTAATTTAACAGTCCCAGTCCGTATTAGCTCAGAGGCGAGCAGAATGACTACAGCCCCACCCTCAGCTCCACCTCTTTTGCCATTTTTGGATTATTTGGACGCAATCTCGGTCGGAAAAAAAACAGTGGTGGGAACCAGAAATTTTGACTTCAACGTTCCCCCTGGTTGAGCAATAGGCAGGCTGTCCATATTTTTATATGTCGATGGTCCCCATTAAGGTCTCTCTGGTATCTGCTGCTCTCCTCCTCAGCTCCTTCTAGTCAGAGGCTAACGAGTCTCTGCGCACCTGTGGGTGTGATATAGCTGAATGCTCTGTTTCTCAGTCTGCAGCCTGTGCAGTCATTAAAGTTGTTCCTGGGAACTTTCACACAAAACAATGCATGCCTAAAAATCACCAAATCACGTAAATTTGAAAAAACAATTTAACATGGACGTTTGGGCCCAGTTTCAGAAAGACTGAAGGCATTCACTCGCGGGTTGAAAATTAGATGATGATTAACAGAAATAACTGATTTCATTGCTCTCTGCCCTATTGTTGATACAGCAGGGGGCGCCATCACACCGAGATGACTGGAGAGTGCAGCAGAACGTGTGACAGTCTTCAGGGTAGCCGACTCAAACACACGTTTAAAAACAAGAAACGAAGCAAAGAAGGTAGAAAGAAAACATAAAACATTACAAATAAAAATTCTCAGACTCAAAAATGTAATATTTTAAAACTAATATAGAGATATACACGCAAACCCAAACACACACACACACACACACACACACTCACACTCACACACACACACACACATACACACACGCACACACACACACACACTCACACATACACACACACACACACACATACACACACACACACACACACTCACACTCACTCACTCACACACGCATACACACACACACACACACACACACACACACACACACACACACACTCACACTCACTCACTCACACACGCATACACACACACACACACACTCACACTCACTCACTCACACACGCATACACACACACACACAGACACACACACACACACACACACTCACACATACACACACACATACACACACGCACGCACACTCACACACACACACACACACACACTCACACATACACACACATACACACACGCACGCACACTCAAACATGCGCGCACACACACACACACACACGCAAACTCAAACGCGCGCGCGCACACACACACGCACACAAACCACCGCGCGCGCGCACGCACACACACGCTAACTCACACAGACACCCACACACACACATACGCACACGCACGCAAACTACCGCGCGCGCACGCACACACACGCACACTTAGTGATTAGCTGTACTTTGATGTGACCGCTTCCGTTAATCGGTGCTGTTGGGAAATCTCTGCTCGGTGTCGTAACGGTCTGAGAGGAGGAGCGTGGACCGGAATCCGCCTCTACTTCCTGCCCAGATCCACTCACTTTCTGCGCTTTTTACGCACTTTCTAAAGTGTGAGCAGGCACCGGGTCCGCTACGGAGCAGTCCGGTTCCGACCCGCCTCAGTTGGTTTGTTTTAATCAGGTAAATTACCGTTAAACGGGATCGTTAATCACCGGAACAGACCCACTCCGCGCGGCTCAGTTTGGAGGAGTTCCCGGACCGGAGGAACCCGGAGAGATTTACGGATGTGTGAGAGCCCTGGTTGTTAATCATCAGAACCCCGCTGCTCCCGGGGCTGCCCGGTAACCGGAGATTACTGGTCCAGGACCCCGGGGCTGCCCGGTAACGGGAGATTACTGGTCCAGGACCCCGGGGCTGCCCGGTAACTGGAGAGTACTGGTCCAGAACTCCAGGCAGGCTCATCTGTCGCGGACCTGCAGCTCATGTAAGTCACCTCCCGTTTGTTGTTTACTTCGAGGTCCGTTACAGCACGGGTGTCACCGTTAATAACCGGAAACCGAGCCCGGTCCGTTAGAAACATCTGGATTAAATTATTAATTTCAATTTGGATCCGAGAGCTAAAGGACAGAGAGGAAGAACCGGTACCGGTTTAGCGGTTCGGTTCAACTCTTCAGCACCTACTGCCAACTAAAATATTCATTCATTCATTGATGTGTGTGAAAGTATAAAAGTGGAAATATTTGATATGAAAAGTGAAAATGATGCAGAGGACCCGATGAGTTTGTGAATCTGATGGGTTTGCTACCATCGATTTGATCTGATAATCAGATTATAGCTCGAACCGCTCCGGTTCGGGACTGCAGACATCAGCAGAACCAGGCTGCGGTCCATCTGCCTCATCATCTTCATCAGAACCAATGAGATCAGCTTCATGGACGGAATCGATCCGAACTCTCAGAACCAGGTGGAGAGATAAACTCTAACTCTAATTAAAATATCACCCAGGGTTCTGAAAACCTAACACACACACACACACACACACACACACACACACACACACACACGCACACACACACACACACACACACACACACACGTGATTCTATCGAGCTCCATTTGATGTGATGGATTGGTCCGAATGGCCCCACAGGGACCTGCTCTTCCTCCCTCCATCTGGTTCCTGATTCTCCAGCCTCTCAGAAATGAAATCATTAGAACCCCTTACCCAATACAGATGGACCGGTTCTGGTTCTGAAGGTTGTGGGAATTAGTGACTAATGATTTTGGAATTCCTGATGTTCTGAGATGTGTCCCTGTCTCTCTGCAGGGCGTCCTTCACCCTCTGTGTCCTCCTGGTTCTGATGAACTGGACCTCATCAGCTGTCAGTCAGTCCAGCAACCCGACAGGTGGGTTGGGATTCTATTGGGAGCTCGTTAGGAGAACAGAGTCAGTGAGGCGAGTCCGGCTCAATGCCTGACTGAAACAGAAACATGCTGTTCTGAGACCTGGCTTGGACCAGAACCTCGAGATGTTTTAACTTCGTAGCAGAGCTACTAAATCCACCCTGGACCTATAGAGAAGCACCGGTTCTGGTTCTGATGGCCGGTACGGTGTCTGATTCATGTATACTCTCACCTGCCGGTACAGATCTGAACAAGAATAAATAAAATACGGTTTTTATTTTTAATTTCTGGTGCAGATGAAAAGAATTATTCTTAATAATGAAAATCTGTTGATGTTCCATGATGATGGTGAGTTCAAGGACCCATGAAAAGAAGAGATTTTTGAGTTTCAGATGAGCTGATCACAGATTAGGCCGATTTCAGTCACCCATGGATATTTTGGTGCAAAAATAAAAATATAAATTTTGAGGAAAAATAAACCATTTATATCTCAGAAGCTTAATGAATAATTTTTTCTTATTTAGAACATTTTCATCTGATTGATATTTTATTATTTCTGTGTGATTTATTTCCCCTCTGAGTAAACAAACAATATTTAAACCTGAGTCAATAATTCTGTTTTATTTATTTCCAAACAGATAAAATATCCTCTGATTCATAAAGCCGTCGTTTTGCTGCAGCTCTAGTGAAAAATGGCTTTTCTGACCCGATCGCTGCTTTCGGAGTCGATTCTGCGGCTCAGCGTTCAGCGGGCCGCTCTGCAGCGGGACGATTTATGATGGATGAAGCATGTGTGTGTCGGGATGGAGGGATGAGGCTGGAGGTATAACTGTGAGGATGGGTGGTGATGGGGCAGGGGGGATGGTGGAGAGTGTTTTAATAGAAAGACTAATACTCTGGCTGGGGGAACCTGACAGTCAATTACCAACACACACACAGCGGACCGGGTCGGCTCAGGAGGAGCAGAAAGCCTCCATTAATCCAGAACCCGGTCCTGGATCCGGCTCTGAGGAGCCACAAGCTTTTATTGGCTTAAACTTTTATGCTAATCAGTTTAAACCAACTGGAGTGATTAAGAGTAATCTGGTCTTGGTTTATTAGTATGTAGTGTTTTTACCGGTTACCATGGAAACAGGAAGCTGTCATAACACTTCAAGTTTACACCGTTTCCTGCTTGCGGGGGGGTTAAGAGATGTACATAATGTTTAGAACTATTATAGCCTAACAGGTTTTTCTGTTGATTGTTGATTCTTTTGTAGTTTGGGTTCAAATGAGAGAAAAACTGGTAAAAGGGTAAATGTGGGGTCTGGTCCGGGTTCGTATTAGAATCTGTAGCACCAAACAGGCAGAACCCGTGGTTCTGGACTTCAGCTGGTGGAGGAGATATAAATCTTAATGATTTATTGATAAGAATATAAATGTAAGATGTGTTTTGTGTACATTTGTAAATCCAGGATTGAACTGAATCTGCTGCACCTGCTCAGGTGACATGGGAAAGAGAGAGAGAGAGAGCGGGCGAGCGGGTTGCTACAGCACCTTTGATTGCTGTGATAGTTATTTGTTTGATTATTTCTGAGCAAGTTATACTCAGTTATGATTTGATTTTCCTTCATAAAGTTACGTCTTTGGGAATCTCGGTGGATGTTCTGACAAACGCGTCATGGCGGCCCGACCTCAGCCTCTCCAGTGCCTTTTCTTTCTTTCCTGAAGTGGCTGGAGTAGCCGGGTCACGTCTGGTTTTGTTGCTGTGGATGTCCTCTGAGGAAGTGTTAGCTTTATGGTTGTAGTAGTTTTTGTCTGTCAGCTCAGACGTTCTCACAGCAACATAACCTTCAGCTGCACCTTCTCCTGAGTCTGGTTAAAGCCGGGCGTACACTGTGCGACTTTTTCACTTTTTTGAGCCGATTTTCCACTCGTGCGAGAATCCACGAGATCGGGGCGAGTTTTGCGCCGAGCGTCGTGTACAGGGGGTTACGAGAGGCGATTAACACCACGTGACCAGCTACCGATCAGCAATCGTGAGCTTGCATGGACTTCTGGCGTGTTTAATATTTCGCTCGTCCCTCGTGAGGGTATCGCACTGTTGAAGCGGCGCTGCGAGCAGCTGCGACCCAAAATGTACCAGAACCGCTCACGGCGCAATCCTGCATCAACACCGCTCGCCCGCTATTTCCCTAATAACACACGTTGTTCGTTTTAATTTCTATATGTTTTTTACTCACAAAGATTGTCAAGAAAGCATGTTTGTCGTGTTCATGTCTAATTAAACTGATCACTAAACACAGATTTACTTTCTTTATTTCGTTTTCCTCATCCAACCCCCATAAATCCCTGTGTGTCCTCCTGCAGCACTCCCGAAGGACAACAGGCAAAACAAGACAAAAAAGTCTGACGTGTGGAGTAAAAACTGCTATTTTTAGTATATTTTTAGGTCCGACGTGTTGCTACCAGACGTGCAGTGTGAGCGCGTGACTCGTGAGATCTGCCCTGCGAGGAAGTCGTACAGTTTGAGCTGAAGCTGAGTGCTACGCGTGAAAAAGTCGCACAGTGTCCGCCCGGCTTTAGGCTTCGTTCAGCCTTTAGTCGTGGCAGTATTCACTCTCCATACTAACAACTAGTCTGCGCTGTTGGCTGAGCTAGCAGCTAATCTAAGCTGAAGGGTTTTTTCCGAGCTAAATTCTTGAGTTATTTACTCTTCTCTGCTGGTCTTTCAGGTTTTTGGGGACCCACATTAAAGATTAGATTAATCCCAGTGGTTTAAATTACAGATGTGTCTCTCAGTCTCTAACTTTTACATTCACTAATGTTGGAAGCTTCTATTTATTTTGAGCAACCCTTTCAATTCAATTCAAGTTTATTTATAAAGCGCCAAATCACGACAAGAGTCGTCTCAAGGCACTTCACATAATAAACATTCCAATTCAGGTCAGTTCATTAAGCCAATCAGAAATAATGTTTCCTATATAAGGAACCCAGCAAATTGCATCAAGTCACTGACTAGTGTCAGTGACTATACAGCAATCCTAATACCAAGCAAGCATAAAGCGACAGTGGAGAGGAAAACTCCCTTTTAACAGGAAGAAACCTCCAGAGGATCCTGGCTCACTATAAGCAGCCATCCTCCACGACTCACTGGGGATGGAGAAGACAGAACACACACACACACACACACACACACACACACACACACACACACACACACACACACACACACACACACAAAGACAAGTAATGTGTCTACAGTTATATTGTGATTTCTTAGTAAATATTGTATTTGGTGAAAGATAAACTTTATTGTATTTATCCTAGTGGATCTATAATTAAACGGGTAAACTAGCAGTAGCACATCCGACGTCAAGGAAACCAAAAAGTTATTATCAGGAGAGGGAGAATGTTTAAGTGGTTAGCAGCAGTGTGCTAGACGATGGCCCCCTCCATGAGGCCACCACAGCTCAGCAGAACGTCATTGTAGCTTCTTCTGGGGAGAAAAACACTTAGAGAGAAAATAAAGTTAACAGCTGAAATTGCACAAAATAGTACAGTTAAAGAGCAGACTGTAGAAGAAAGCAGTCGAGTGTGAGAAGTTATCTTCTCAGTATGTTTGGTTCTGAGGTTGGAGTGGATGAGCTGAGCTGGAGATCTGTTGGAGGAATCCATCAGGCATCTGTCCTGTTACCACGTCCCCATCGACTCCTCACGCCCATCTTCACTATAATTAACCTTCTAATGATGCTTCCGGGCGATGTGGGCGATCCTGTTTGATTGACGGATCGGATTGTTGCGTCAGTGTTGAAACCAGTGATCAATGAAACCACTTAAAGGAAATGAGACTGTCTTGGTTTAGAAGATGGATGGGTTACTAGTCCAGTCGAATGAGGGATTTTTTCTAAAAGGTTCATTTCTGTCCTGAAAGGTGACATCATCATGTGATGTGCCGTGGTTCTGGATTATCCTGCACAGGCCAGAGCCTCCAGGTTCTCTACTTTAGTTCTCCTCTTCCTGAGCACTGGTGTGAACTTTGACCTTTGACAGAATTCTTGGTTAATTTGACTTGATACGTCAGCGGGAGGTTCCAGATTCTTTTTTAGTTGATTCTATGTTTGTTTGATGTTCTTGGGCTGAAGTTTGCTTTATAAACAAACAAAGACCTTAAATGTGAACGTGTCTGTCTTCAGAGCCGATGTGCTACGACTGGGGCGAGTCCAGCAGCGGGGCGGTCTCCGTCCTGGAGGGGGAGGTCGGGTGGCTTTTTTGTCATCTTTTCTCTCATCCCTCCGTCTACAACTACACCTCTGCCCAGAGCACTGGACACAACCTGTTCTGGTACCGCCTCCTGGACGGCCACGAAGTGGAGCAGCCAATAACATACAGGTAACCATGGAAACCACCTGGATGGGGGAAGGTGGGTCCTAGGCCCTAGCCTTTTTTTTTTTTTACGTTTTTGTCAAATTTTGTTTCGTCTTGCAGTTCTGAGCAGAACCGGTTCTCCAGGTTTATGGGCACGTTTAACCGGATTAGGGTTAGGTTAACCAGGCGGAGCAGCTCTTCTACAGGAGACCGTCGTTTACATGTTTGAGCTTCTAAATGTTCAGAAACATTTCTGCTTCTGATCCTAAATAGGTGGGGTGAAGATTGGGTCAGAGGAGGGGAGATAGAGCCCGATGTTAGAGCTGGGGGTGGGGGGAGGGGGGGGGGGGCTGTAATTTAACAATGAAGTCTTTCCAGACGATGGATGGTGTTTGGGAGGCGGTCGTCCGATTAGCAGCTCTGAGGATGTTCTGCTGTCGCTCACCCTGATTTATTCTCTCTCTCTCTCTCTCTCTCTCTCTCTCTCTCTCTCTCTCTCTCTCTCTCTCTCTCTCTCTCTCTCTCTCTCTCTCTCTCTCTCTCTCTCTCTCTCTCTCTCTCTCTCTCTCTCTCTCTCTCTCTCTCTCTCTCTCTCTCTCTCTCTCTCTCTCTCTCTCTCCCCTCTCTCTCTCCCTCTCTCTCCCCCTCTCTCTCTCCTCTCTCTCTCTCTCTCTGTCTCTCTCTCTCTCCCCCCCTCTCTCTCTCCCCCTCTCTCTCCTCTCTCTCTCTCTCTCTGTCTCTCTCTCTCCCCCCTCTCTCTCTCTCTCCCCTCTCTCTCTCTCTCTCTCTCTCTCTCTGTCTCTCCCCCCCCTCTCTCTCTCCTCTCTCCCCCCCTCTCCTCTCTCTCTCTCTCTCTCTCTCTCCCCCCTCTCCCCCCTCTCCCCCCCCCCCCCTCTCTCTCTCTCAGCTCCCGTTTCACCAAAGACAGAGAGAGGCTGTGGCTGCAGCCGGCCAGTGCCGACGACACGGGCCAGTACATCTGCATGCTGCGGTAGGTCCATCGGGTTCTCCTCATAATGCTGGGTTCCGGGTTCCAACCTGATTTTAACCACAAAATAAACCATGACTAAAATAAAGTGTTTATAAATAAAAATGAAGTTTCTGACAACAAAAAATTGAGAATAAAAGCTCAATTAAAAAGTTCTAAAAATTATTATTATTATTATTTCGATTCAGACTTCTGGTTCGGGTGGAACCGGGTCCTGTGGTGTGAGAACCTTCAGTGTGAATGTTTCTCACAGAAGACAGGAAGTCATCTCACAGGAAACCAAAACTTAGATCACTCTGGTGTTTCTGTGGTTTTAGCTTCAGATATAAAGTTTAAACTAAACTTTAATTTAACTTATACATACACACACACACACACACACACACACACACACACACACACACACACACACACACACACACACATATATATATATATATATATGTATATATATATGTATAGTTATATATGCACATATACATACATATATATAATAAATATTTACATACATATAAATAATAAATATTTACATACCGTAAATCCTCTAATACAGGCCCGGGCCTGTATTTGACTCAAGCTCATCAAGCTCCAGGCCTTTATTGGAAGGAGGGCCAGTATTAGAGGCAGGCCTCTATTTCTATTTGAGCAAAATGAACTAATGGTTCTCTGGAGTTTTTGACAATTAAAATTGCGCCCTCATTTTCAAAGTTAAACACATTTCTTTTAACAACGGTAGTTTCTGCTTCAGCCCTCTCCCCCCTCCCCCTGCTTCAGCCCTCTCCCCCCTCCCCCTGCGCAGCAGCCGCAAACTCACTGATGCGCCTGCAGCCTCTCAGAGTTCCTGCTGCTCTAAACATTAAAATAATTATTTCATTTTCTGTTCCTCACTTCTGATTACCTTCAATGGTGTCTGTTTGTTGCAACCAGCAGGTACAAAAACTAACTTGTTTTTATTGACTATTTTTCTGTCCTGCCTGTTTATTATCTTCCTGCATCTCCTCTCAATCCTAAAGAAAAACTGCTACCTGGGTTCATATATATTCACCTCATGAGTTACCTTTGAACTGCAGTTCTAAAAAATCTACCGACCGCAAAAACAGCGGAGCGCTTGCTGTTTGGCGGCCGTATCAGTGATCAGTGCGTCGGAGAACAAGGTGATGCCCGCAGCGCCCCGCTCCACAGCATGCAGCGAAACGCATCAGGCGCAAATAAAAGACAGAAAACATTAAAGGAAATGAACTGACATGAACGATCGCGTGTTAAATTAGTTTTTGAGGTGGCGACACCTGATTGTTACTGTGGCCGTGCTCAGGAGGCAGATCTACCGACCGCGAAAACAGCGGAGCGCTCCCTGCTTGCCGGCCGCATCAGTGATCTGTGCGTCGGAGGACAAGTTGATGCGCCCTGCTCCACAGCAGCGATACACATCAGGCGCAAATAAAAGACAGAAAACATTAAAGGAAATGAACCGACATGAACGATCGCGTGTCAGTACCTACGGGAGCGTGGTTTCACAGACGCGGAAGTGATAGCGTCGGTGAAACGCCGGCTGCTCTAGGAAACCCCCGAGCGTTCGAGCGTCAACGAAGTGACACGGAAATGCCGGGCTTTCCAGAAGTAAGTAAGATAACTTACTATGAGCTGATAGTTCGTTGGATTGATCGGTAGGTTGGAAACTCTGATCGTGAATCTGAAGAAACGATGACTGAGTGGTGAGCTGGAAAGGCGACTTCCGTTTATAGCCGCGGTTTGTGACGTAGGTGCGACGTGGAGGGAATCCCCGCGAGGGGCATGCTGGGAGTCCCTACTTCGCGGATTTTCACCTATCGCGGCCAGGTCTGGAACGCATCTACCGCGATAAACGAGGGATTACTGTAGTTCATACAACCCCTACTGCTGCTCTCCAGAGTGTTCTGCAGCATAATCAGCACGTTCTCTTTGAACTTGATAGTGTAATGACCTGGCTGGGGTTGTAAGCCAGGTGCATTCTGGGTATTGTGTTATATGTGTTTCCTATCGTTCTGCTAGTTCCTATGTGCTGATTTGCGTGTTGTGTGAGTGTTATGTAAGCCACAGGGAAGGTGATGTGTGTTATGTGGAGCGGGTTGAATTAGCATGGTTAACTGACACCTTGACTCTGTGTGGTAGGAGCGTGATAGAGGATCATGTCTGTAGCGTTACAAAGCTTGAAGAAAAAGCCTTATAAAGGTCTGCGTGAACTTCTACTGCCTCCTGCTGGTTGATTTGGGGACTATAACCCTGCCGCTGGGACTCTCGTACTTGCTTGTTACCACACTCCATCCGGCCACAAAAAGAGACCGGCCATTATTTACCCCCGCTGACTCCGACACCGGCCAAAATTGGAGACCCGGCCTTTAATTGAATACCGGCCTGTATTAGAGGATTTACGGTATCTATATATTTACATATATATATATATATATATATATATATATATATATATTTACACACACACACATATATATATATATATATATATATATATATATATATATATATTTACACACACACATATATATATATATATATATATATATATATATATGTGTGTGTGTAAATATATATATATATGTATAGTTATATATATATATATATATATATATATATATATATATATACCGTATATATATGTATAGTTATATATGCACATATACATACATATATATCATAAATATTTACATATATATATATATATTTACATATATACAGGTGCTGGCCAGTAAATTAGAATATCAGCAAAAGGTTGAAAATATTTCAGTAATTCCATTCAAAACGTGAAACTTGTACATTATATTCATGCAATGCACACAGACCAATGTATTTCCAATGTTCATTACATTTAAATTTGATATTCATAAGTGACAACTAATGAAAACTCCAAATTTGGTATCTCAAAAAATTAGAATATTCTGAAAAGGCTGAATATAGAAGACACCTGCTGCCACTGTAATCAGCTGATTTACTCAAAACACCTGCAAAGGCCTTTAAAAGGTCCCTCAGTCTTGTTTTGAAGGCACCACAATCATGGGGAAGACTTCTGACTTAACAGCTGTCCAAAAGACAATCATTGACACCTTGCACAAGGAGGGCAAGACACAAAAGGTGATTGCTAAAGAAGCTGGCTGTTCGCAGAGCTCTGTGTCCAAGCACATTAACAGACAGGCGAAGGGACGGAAAAAAATGTGGTAGAAAAAAGTGTACAAGCTCTAGGGATAACCGCACCCTGCAGAGAATTGTGACGACAAACCCATTCAAAAATGTGGGGGAGATCCACAAAGAGTGGACTGCAGCTGGAGTCAGCGCTTCAAGAACCACCACGAGGAGACTCATGAAAGACATGGGATTCAGGTGTCGCATTCCGTGTGTCAAGCCACTCTTGAACAAGAAACAGCGCAAGAAGCGTCTCGCCTGGGCCAAGGACAAAAAGGACTGGACTGATGCTGAGTGGTCCAAAGTTATGTTTTCTGATGAAAGCAAGTTCTGCATTTCCTTTGGAAATCAAGGACCCAGAGTCTGGAGGAAGAGCGGAGAAGCACAGAATCCACGTTGCATGAGGTCCAGTGTAAAGTTTCCACCGTCAGTGATGGTGTGGGGTGCCATGTCATCTGCCGGTGTTGGCCCACTCTGTTTCCTGAGGTCCAGGGTCAATGCAGCCGTCTACCAGGAAGTTTTAGAGCACTTCATGCTTCCTGCTGCTGACCAACTTTATGGGGATGCAGACTTCACCTTTCAACAGGACTTGGCACCTGCACACAGTGCCAAAACCACCAGCACCTGGTTCAAGGACCATGGTATCCCTGTCCTTGATTGGCCAGCAAACTCGCCTGACCTTAACCCCATAGAAAATCTATGGGGTATTGTGAAGCGGAGGATGCAATACGCTAGACCCAACAATGCAGAGGAGCTGAAGACGACTATCAGAGCAACCTGGGCTCTCATAACACCTGAGCAGTGCCACAGACTGATCGAGTCCATGCCACGCCGCATTACTGCAGTTATTGAGGCAAAAGGAGCCCCGACTAAGTATTGAGTGCTATACATGCACATTCTTTTCATGTTCATTCTTTTCAGTTGGCCAACATTAGAGAAACAAACATTTTTTCATTGGCCTTTAGAATATTCTAATTTTCTGAGATACCAGATTTGATGTTTTCATTGGTTGTCACCTATAAATATCAAAATTAAACGTAATAAACATTGGAAATACATTGGTCTGTGTGCATTGCATGAATATAATGTACAAGTTTCACGTTTTGAATGGAATTACTGAAATATTTTCAACCTTTTGATGATATTCTAATTTACTGGCCAGCACCTGTATATATATGTATAAATAATTTATAAATAATTTTTGGAGCGAGTTCTCGGGGTTTCTGCTCCGAAAACTAAACAAAGTAAAATACAAAAATAAGAATCAAACTAATGACATTTTATTCATTTCTAATTAAGTTTTAGTTGTTTATATTTTTTATTTATTTCCAAAAATAAATAGCAACAAATAAATGACATATATGAAAATTCTTCTGTTTAATGCAAAAAAATCTATATTTTTGTATTTTATCTTTAATGTATTTTTATGATCATTTAATTTTATTTATCTTTGATCTATTTCATCTTTTATTTTTAATGTGTCTGTTAATAAGTTCAAATGAAAAACTTTATGTCAAATGTAAAGTTTTAGTTTTGGTTTCTGTTGAGGATCCAGGATCTGGGTACTGACACCAGATCAGCAGGTTTTATCAGATCCAGATCCAGTCGGTGTCTGTGGGCTGGACTGGACCTGAATAAGGTCAAGTTCTAAGGAAAGACCCGATCCTCCTGATTCTGGTCTCTGATCTGCAGGAACAAGTCATCCTGCAGTAAGATCGCCATGCGTCTGAAGGTCCTGAAACAGGACCAGGTAGTCCCCTTCACCGGCTGTGAGCCTCACAGCCTGGTTGCCGTGGCGACAACTCAGGAATTCATCCCTTTTCAAGAAGGGAAGAAGTTGAACTGTCCAGACCTGAAGGACATCACCACCATGTCAGAAACTACGCCAACAGTCTCCTGGTTCCACAAAGCGCTGGAAACCTCAGTGAGTTGTCCACACAGTTCCCCACGTGTCCCTTACAGGTCCATACGGGCCCACACGTCCCTGTCAGGAACACACAGGACCCTAGAAGTCCCCATGGTCCACGCAGGATGGGGTTCCAGGCTGTAAAGCCCAGTTCTGTCTCTGTCCCATCCTCAGAAGTGTCACAAGTATCCGTTCTGGGATCCGTCCCGGGAGCAGAGAGACAACAGCCTGATGTTCTACAACATGAAGGAGCCATTTCAGGGTCTTTATTTCTGTGTGATCCGGTACCAGCGGAGAGGTCAGGTTCTGAACTTCACCCAGAGCATCAACGTTTCTGCCATCTGTGAGTGTATGGTTCTGCTGCTGTTCTGGTTCTGATAGATGGACCTGGCTGGTAAATGCTGGTTCTTCCTCCTTCAGATCCGCTCATGGTGTCCAAAGTCCCCAGCATTCTCCAGCCAACCAAGGACAAGGTCTTCAGCGTCAGGACAGGTAGGTCCACACCACAGGGAACCAGAACACCGCCGGGTCAGGCGAAGAACTTTATAACCGTACAGGTATCAGTTTGACACACAAACGGTTCAAAGGTGTTATTTACCCAGAACCAGATTATCTAGAACCTTTCAGGCACAGCCAGGAAATAAAAGCCATAATTCAGCTAATCTGTGGGATTGGATTGTGCCTCCAAAGAGGAGAGTTGCTCTGTGGAAACATCTGAAGGACAGAACCTGCAGACTTGCTGGAGGAGGAGGTGGTCGTCATGGTGATGGAGGGATGCAGCAGAACTTGTCACTGCTGCATTTGCTATTGATCAGAGGTGATTCATGGATTAGAAGTTCCTTCACACATAGATGATGCTTTAATCAGACTAACGTCTGGAGAAGTTCAGGATGTTTGGAGATTATTTCTGAATGAAAACAAAACCATTCAGTTTGATTCATGAGGCTGCAGCTTAGAGGCGTTCTCCGCACCAGGACCAAACCTGTGGAGCACACTTCCGCTATCTGTGAGGCTCTCTCCATCAGCAGCAGTTTCTAACGAGGTTGAAGACCCGCTTTCATGGTTTGGCTTTTAACTCTCTGGGTTAGATGATTTTACTGTTTTTACTTGTTTTGAATTGTCTTTGGTGATTTTATCCATTTTACTGTGCAGCACTTTGGTGGCCAGTGTTGGGGGTAACGCGGTACAAATGTAATTAATTACTGTAATGCATTGCTTTTTGCTGTAATGTGGTAATGTAAGGCATTACAGAGAAAGAAAACAGTAATATTTACTCAGTACAATTGTCAGTAACTCGGTAATTACAATGCATTTTTAAACCCAGAATCAAGATGTGGGTTTCCTAAAAATTTAAATCACGGGAAGCCTGAAAAAAGATCCAGTATCCACATATATGACGTCATTTATGGACTCAGCTTTGCGGGCATTCTATGAGCAGAGAGGACGCGGCGGTAACGGCTCAAATACTCCAGCTGCGTCCTGCGCGCGGCCGCTGTAACATTCACAAAATCGCTCCACCAAAACAAAATAATTTGTTTGTGATCGTTTATATCAGTTCATATTCTCTGGTACTTCATGTACTTTTCAGCTGAGTTCATAATCTGTGCCCCGGTGATTTCAACTCATTGCCGGAGCGCAGCGCCTGTTAAGCTTTTTTTTTTGCGTTCGGTAGATCCCTTTGGCTGATTAGTTGGAAAGTAGGAAATCTAGTTTACAGTTTTTCTGGAAGACGGAGAAAACATGCAGCATGCAGGAAGGTTAGAGAGAGAAAGGGCCGGAAATTATTCAAATAAAATCAAGAAAAAAAGAAAAAAGTAGGTAGATTTATCCCCAATACACATTTTTACCTGCGAAAAGCAACAATATATAAGCATTTAATATTTATACATGTGATAGAATCAGATCACCCCAGAAGTCAGTCCCACATCCAGGGCCGTATCAAGGCATTTGGGGACCAAGGCAAACATAGGCTTGGAGCCCCCACACCTCACTCCTTGCTCAGATAATCTTATGGGCCATTCCCATCTGTACCGGGTCGGCCCGGGCCGGGTAGCGTAGGTTGTTTACATATCTGGGTGGCCTGGTATTTTTCCGGGCCAACCAAGTCTCATTCTCAGCCCTCTTCTCGAGGGGGTCTGCTTCAGGCCGACCAGGGCCAACACACCCACTGCTGACAGCAAATTCACACCTTCCATTAGAGCAAGCCTCTGATTGGTGGGTAGAATCAGCCCACATGGGCTTAAGGCAAGGATGTGTGGAATCAACCGGGCCAGGCTGGGGCCGACTGGAGCAACCCGGCCCGGGCCGACCCGGCACAGATGGGAATGGCCCATAAGATGGCAGCGTGCTGAGAGTACAGATTGTTGTTGCTTTTATTTAATAAACAATCATTTTAAAGCACTGTTATTATATCTGACTGTTTTTAACAGCAACCCTAGCTCAGACACCACATCACCTTCCACATATATGTCATGAGCTCACTGAGCGTCACATGACCAGATTCATATTGAAGTTGTTTTGGTGAAAGTAACTTAAGGTAATGCAAAAGTAGTGTAATGCCTTACATTTTAAAATCAGTAATATTGTAATGTAATGAATTACTTTAAAATGAGGGTAACAAGTAATAAATAATGCATTACAGTTTTGAAGTAACTTGCCCAACACTGTTGGTGGCATGCCTCGTGCCTGTAAGGGGCTCTAGAAATAAAGATGATGATGATGATGATGATGATGATGCAGTTTAAAGTTCCATGACAGATGTTTAAACTGCAGGAGGAGAGATCTCCTGCCAGTGGCTCATTGGTGTTACCATGGCAACCAGCAGTATCTCAGCTATAGAAGCAGACGGGGTTTTCTAAGCTGATACGGATCCATGTCCTGATGGGGTTTTGTTGGTTTTCTGTCAGACTCTGAGGTCAGTCTGGTCTGCAGAGGTCTTCTATCTTTTGTCCTCGGCAATTCTGCCAGCTCCATCTGGTGGACTGTCGACGGGAAGACGGTGGAACAACTCGCCAACAACCGATTCAGTCAAAAGAACAGGTGGGACGTTCTGTTATAACAGGATGACGACAGGACCTAACCTCTCCATTCAGATTCCCACCGTGGTTTCATTTTGCGACCCAGAACCAGTAGAGCTGATCTGATCTGTTCTTCTGTCCGACTGCGGCGTTGCAGCGTGGTGAACAACGACTACGGAGACCGGACGGAGGAGAGTGTCCTGCTGATTCAGGACTTCCAGGCAGAAGATCTGAACCGCGAACTGAACTGCTCTGTGAGGAACTCATTGGGCTTCATGACCCGCAGAGCTCAGCTGGAAAAGGAAGGTAAGGAGGACTCTGATACGGGCGGAAGGGGGAGGAGCTACATTCAGGTGTTAACCTCCAGGTTGTGCACTTCCTCAGTGTCTCTGCCCTCTGTGGAGCTGGGGTGTGGTCTCGGGGTCATTCTGGTGCTGATGCTGCTGCTCTTCGTGGTGTATCATGTCTTCTGGTTGGAGCTGCTGCTGATCTATCGCTCCTGGTTCGGTACTGATGAGCGGCACACAGGTGAGTCCTCCTCGAGATTAGCGACATCATCATTGTCAGTCTCCAACTTCCTGTTTGGATTCTGTTGTCCGATTACCTGGGACTCACCTCTGGGCTGTGAGTGGGCGTGTCTCCAGAGGAGAGATAGGATCGTAAATTCTGACAGAAGGTCCTGGACGGCTTGAAAAGCTCAAAAGTTAGTGAAAAGAAGCTGAAGAGATTAAGCCGTTAGCAGACACGCCCCCTAATTCCGCTTTAGGAACTCTGGTGCTTTCTGTCCGAACAGTTGGGAATTCTCTTCTGAGGTTCTGGTCCAGAGCCTAATGTTCTCTCACTATCACACTCTCTGTGTTTAGATGATAAGGAGTATGACGTATACATCTCGTATGCGAGGAACAGTGAGGAGGAGCAGTTTGTTTTGTCGACGCTACGCAGCGTTCTGGAGAACGAGCTTGGATACTCGGTCTGCATCTTCGACAGAGACAGCCTTCCCGGCGGGAGTGAGTACCAATCCATCAGCTCTCTACCTGGACGGGTTCATCACACTTCCTCATCTACTCATCCATCCTTCCATCCTCCATCTCTCCCTGCAGCCATCACAGATGAGACCCTGAGCTTTGTGGCTCGCAGCCGGCGCCTCCTGGTGGTCATCAGTCCCGGGTACGGTTCTCAGGGCTCCCAGGCTCTGCTGGAGCTCAAGGCTGGCATCGATGGCATGGCGCTAGGCGGGCATCTACGGGTCATCTTGATCCAGTACAAGCCAGTTCAGAGGCAGCGCTGGGTCAGGGAGCTGAGGAGGGCTCGTGTGGCTCTGGCAACAGTCCAGTGGCAGGGGAACAAGTCCAAAGACCTCACGTCCCAGTTCTGGAAGAGGCTTAGGGTGGAGCTTCCTGTGAGGAGAGTCAGCTGCCAAGAGGCATCTCTGATGAGACTCCATAGTCAGAACAGTACCAACTCCCAAACGGGCCTCATCAGCAGCACAGACAAAAACTCAGAGCAGTGGCACATCCAGAACGGTCTCCATGGGGAGGAGCAAAACATCTGGGCAGGGTGATAAGGCTGGAGCTCCTCATGAAAACTTTCACAAAAACACTTTATTACAGAAGCTATTTATTTATTCGTTATGAAGACAGTGTGCCCCTCTGCAGATCCACCGCAGAACATCTTTACCTGCAGAGCTGAGCGCGCACCCCTGCATGTCGGAGGGCCGCTCCACCAGAACCAGAACTGAGTTAGCTGCTATTTGATGATGTCATCAATCTGCTGAAATCCACCCTGAGACCCTTTTCTGTTTGTTTGTTTTAATGCGTGAAGTTGGATCAGAAGCTTCATCTGTGTTCTGGTTGACCCAAATGCTCCTTTAGCATTAGCATGTGTTAGCATGCTAACTAGTTAGCAGCAGCACCGTCACATGAAAACCAACTCCACTTACGTCATCCTCACAAGATCCAAACTCTTCCCAGACTTAAGGTCCAGATGTCTTTTCACAAAAGCCTTCTGGGAATTTCTCCCACTCTGACCTGGGAAACCTCCCAGCTGTGAGGAGGCATCTGCCAGAGCTTTCTGGAGAGGAAGAGGGAGGCGGGGTGCTGCGATGCGTTAAGAGGCATCTCCTAATCAGATCTGTTTACATCTAGCCCAAACGTTAGTTAGGTTTGAGTCGAGGGTTGGATGGAACCGGCGGCACCAGCAGACGGGTTCTAACAGAAACAAGTTGTTGATTCAGACCAGAAGCAGCAGGGGAGTCCAGGTACACAGGTGAGCAAACCATTAGGACCACGCTCGTGTTCCTCCTGCAACGGCTGGTTCTGTTTGCAGAAGCATGAAACAGAACTGGGTTCTGGATGACAAGCTGGACCTAGTCTGGACCACCATCTCAGCTTCCAGAACACGTGAGACCTTCAGAATCCCGAATGGATCTGGGCTGAGAAATATTTGATGTTCTGCGGAAAAATAGTTTTTTAGGGAGGTGCTGGAGAAGGAGATGATTCCTTGTTAAGTCTCAGGGAGTTCTGAAGAAGAAGAAGAAAATATCATTTCTAAAGCGCCTCTCAAGATAAAAATCATGAGGCGCTTCAACAGAAAATCCAGGTTTTTAGAGAGAATTAGATCATTGAGCCGGAAGGACTTATTGTTAACAGAGTAGGTGTTTAATAGAGCCATGCTGAGTGAGGAGGAGGAATCAGAAACTACAGAAACAGCTGGAGTTAGTGGACGTAATTTAGCCGGGTTAGATCCACGGTGTTTATAAAAACCTCTTATGGAGGGAAGAGGAGGAGAAACCACTGAGGAATGAGGATAAACCGACCTTAAAAAACTTGGACGGATGAACCGCGTCGCAACGCGGCCTGGCGGGAATGCGGAAGTAGCGCTCAGGTCACCAAACAAAGGACAAGAAGCTAGAAGATCACGCCGATGTTTACTAGATAAACCACGCTTTAAGAAAAGTCTTATTCTCACCTGGATTCCTGCTCGTTTACCTCTTTTCCTCCGACGTTTTCCTGGGACTGGACAAACATCGCTGGAGGTGCGTAGCTCGGGACCGTCGTTTGGCTCCGGGCCAGTGCGCCACTCAGGTAAACAAACAGGGAGGTACGTCCTCGGTGCATCTCGGGCGATCGTGAACGAACGGAAGGACAAAAGAGTCTGGCGATCATAGGAGATGGTAGCAGGGACACTACTGAGGAGGATCACAGACAGGAGCAAGGTGGAAAAGAGGAGGTTAGTGGAGAAAAGTTTGAAAAAGTGGCCGGTGACTGCGGCTAAGCCAAGCACAGGCGCCATCTTGTTGCTGACTGGAAGCGGTCTTCTGGTGTTGGTTCTGGTTCTTCATCTGAGCCTGAAGGTGGGGCCATTAAACCTGATGAAGTCCTGAAAAGGAGACCAGAGTCTGGAAGGCCTGATCCAGTCTGACAGTAAAGTCCTCATCTCCTCACGTCTTATTAAACGAGGTTCTTTTTGCTTGGGACAAAAAGGTGTTTCTAATTACCTTTATACGTGTTTTGACTGTCGTCTGCAGACCGTGTCCGAAGCAAAAAACCTCGTTTAATATTTAAAAAGAGGACATAACGAAGATTTTAAAGGGTCCTAACATCTTAGTTCTTCCCATCAAAGGCAGGAAGACATGGAGACGAGGAGTCAAGACGCCCTTCAGAACCATCAGAACTGGGTCATCTGAGTGTTTCATAGGAGGGTTCTGCTGTTTCTCACATTCAGTTTATTTATATAACACCAAATCACCATACCATACCATACCATAGTTTATTTATATAACACCAAATCACCATACCATACCATAGTTTATTTATATAACACCAAATCACCATACCATACCATAGTTTATCTATATAACACCAAATCACCATACCATACCATAGTTTATCTATATAACACCAAATCACCATACCATACCATAGTTTATCTATATAACACCAAATCACCATACCATACCATAATTTATTTGTATAACACCAAATCACCATACCATACCATAATTTATTTGTATAACACCAAATCACCATACCATACCATACCATAATTTATTTGTATAACACCAAATCACCATACCATACCATAGTTTATTTATATAACACCAAATCACCATACCATACCATACCATAGTTTATCTATATAACACCAAATCACCATATCATACCATAGTTTATCTATATAACACCAAATCACCATACCATACCATAGTTTATCTATATAACACCAAATCACCATACCATACCATACCATAGTTTATCTATATAACACCAAATCACCATATCATACCATAGTTTATCTATATAACACCAAATCACCATACCATACCATAGTTTATCTATATAACACCAAATCACCATACCATACCATAGTTTATTCATATAACACCAAATCACCATATCATACCATAGTTTATCTATATAACACCAAATCACCATACCATACCATAGTTTATCTATATAACACCAAATCACCATACCATACCATAGTTTATTCATATAACACCAAATCGCCATACCATACCATAGTTTATTCATATAACACCAAATCACCATACCATACCATAGTTTATTTATATAGCACCAAATCACCATACCATACCATAGTTTATTTATATAACACCAAATCACCATACCATACCATAGTTTATTTATATAACACCAAATCACCATACCATACCATGGTTTATTTATATAACACCAAATCACCATACCATACCATACCATAGTTTATCTATATAACACCAAATCACCATACCATACCATGGTTTATTTATATAACACCAAATCGCCATACCATACCATAGTTTATTTATATAACACCAAATCACCATACCATACCATAATTTATTTGTATAACACGAAATCACCGTACCATACCATAGTTTATCTATATAACACCAAATCACCATACCATACCATAGTTCATTCATATAACACCAAATCGCCATACCATACCATAGTTTATCTATATAACACCAAATCACCATATCATACCATAGTTTATCTATATAACACCAAATCACCATACCATACCATAGTTTATTCATATAACACCAAATCGCCATACCATACCATAGTTTATTCATATAACACCAAATCGCCATACCATACCATAGTTTATCTCTATAACACCAAATCACCATACCATACCATAGTTTATCTATATAACACCAAATCACCATACCATACCATAGTTTATCTATATAACACCAAATCACCATACCATACCATAGTTTATCTATATAACACCAAATCACCATACCATACCATAATTTATTTGTATAACACCAAATCACCATACCATACCATAATTTATTTGTATAACACCAAATCACCATACCATACCATACCATAATTTATTTGTATAACACCAAATCACCATACCATACCATAGTTTATTTATATAACACCAAATCACCATACCATACCATACCATAGTTTATCTATATAACACCAAATCACCATATCATACCATAGTTTATCTATATAACACCAAATCACCATACCATACCATAGTTTATCTATATAACACCAAATCACCATACCATACCATACCATAGTTTATCTATATAACACCAAATCACCATATCATACCATAGTTCATCTATATAACACCAAATCACCATACCATACCATAGTTTATCTATATAACACCAAATCACCATACCATACCATAGTTTATTCATATAACACCAAATCGCCATACCATACCATAGTTTATTCATATAACACCAAATCGCCATACCATACCATAGTTTATCTATATAACACCAAATCACCATACCATACCATAGTTTATTTATATAGCACCAAATCACCATACCATACCATAGTTTATTTATATAACACCAAATCACCATACCATACCATAGTTTATTTATATAACACCAAATCACCATACCATACCATGGTTTATTTATATAACACCAAATCACCATACCATACCATAGTTTATCTATATAACACCAAATCACCATACCATACCATGGTTTATTTATATAACACCAAATCGCCATACCATACCATAGTTTATTTATATAACACCAAATCACCATACCATACCATAATTTATTTGTATAACACGAAATCACCGTACCATACCATAGTTTATCTATATAACACCAAATCACCATACCATACCATAGTTCATTCATATAACACCAAATCGCCATACCATACCATAGTTTATCTATATAACACCAAATCACCATATCATACCATAGTTTATCTATATAACACCAAATCACCATACCATACCATAGTTTATCTATATAACACCAAATCACCATACCATACCATAGTTTATTCATATAACACCAAATCGCCATACCATACCATAGTTTATTCATATAACACCAAATCGCCATACCATACCATAGTTTATCTCTATAACACCAAATCACCATACCATACCATAGTTTATCTATATAACACCAAATCACCATACCATACCATAGTTTATTTATATAACACCAAATCACCATACCATACCATGGTTTATTTATATAACACCGAATCACCATACCATACCATACCATAGTTTATCTATATAACACCAAATCACCATACCATACCATGGTTTATTTATATAACACCAAATCACCATACCATACCATGGTTTATTTATATAACACCAAATCACCATACCATACCATACCATAGTTTATCTATATAACACCAAATCACCATACCATACCATGGTTTATTTATATAACACCAAATCCCCATACCATACCATACCATAGTTTATCTATATAACACCAAATCACCATACAATACCATGGTTTATTTATATAACACCAAATCGCCATACCATACCATAGTTTATTTATATAACACCAAATCACCATACCATGGTTTATTTATGCAGCACCAAATCACCATACCATACCATAGTTTATTTATATAACACCAAATCACCATACCATACCATAATTTATTTGTATAACACCAAATCACCGTACCATACCATAGTTTATCTATATAACACCAAATCACCATACCATACCATAGTTTATTCATATAACACCAAATCGCCATACCATACCATAGTTTATTCATATAACACCAAATCGCCATATCATACCATACCATGGTTTATTTGTATAGCACATTTAAAACGCAGCATGGGAGCTGCCCAAAGAGCTGCACAGGCTAAATCAAAACGCGAACATTCTAAGGAACTAAAACAAAAGATAAAAATACCAGTCAAAAGCAGATAAAACATGATGAATACTAAGAACACATTAAAACACTAAAACGAGTCACTGTCTAAAAGCCAAATCGTAGAAGTGGGTCTTTAAACGAGATTTAAAAACGGCCAGTGATGGAGCCTGCCGAACTCCAATGGGCAACGAGTTCCGCAGCTTTGGGGCCGCGTGCACAAATGCTCGTTCACCCCGCGATTTGTATTGCGTCCGTGGCGTACACAGCAGCAAAAGGTCAGCCGACCTCAAGGTGCACGTGGGTACACATGGAGAGAGCAGGTCAGAGAGATAGGGAGGGGCCAGGTCGTTGAGTGATTTAAATACAAAAGTCATTAACTTAAACTGTACCCTGAAAATGACAGGGAGCCAGTAAAGAAGTTCCAGGACAGGGGTAATACGACTACGTCGGTGTGCATTCGTCAAGAACCTGGCAGCAGCGTTCTGGACGACCTGCAGCCGATTCAGGGCAGAGACCGGAACACCAACGAGGAGGGCGTTTGCGTAGTCAAGGCGAGAGGTAATGAAGGCATGGACAACTGGCTCCAAATGCCTCCGTTTCAGGAGGCGAGTCAGGCAGCGAAGCTGATAAAAGCAAGACCTCACTACGGAGTTTATCTGTGGGGCCATTGTGAGTTCAGCATCCAGCTTTACCCCGAGACTTGTCACACGCTGTTTGGGGTTAAGGGTTAAGAGGTCACAAACGGGGTGAGAGCCATGGTGGTTGCGGGGGTCAAAAACAATAAACTCAGACTTCTTTTCATTTAACTTTAAGAAGTTGGATGCCAGCCAGCCCTTCACGTCATCTAAACATGCAGCCAACCGCGAGCCTGCATTCTTCTCATCCATTTCTATAAATCACAACTAGAACTGTCTCAAGGCACTTCACAAAGTAAACATTCCAATTCAGTTCAGTTCATTTAGCCAATTAGTTCAGTTTCCTTTTTAAAAAATCCAGCAGGTTGCTTCGAGTCGGTGACTTGTGTCAGAGACTTCACAGCAATCCTCATGGAGAGGAAAACTCCCTTTTAGCAGGAGGAAACCTCCAGAGGATCCTTGCTCAGTATAAGCAGCTGTGCAAACCAGATAAACAGCAAAATATTGATGTTTAAATCATTTAAACAGTCGATCAGTGCATCTGTCTCATCTGGACTCACTCAGAACGTTTCCTCCGGATTCAGAGAAGACAAGGAAAGGAGACCAGGGGAGGCGCCTGCGGGACCGAAGGTTAGCTGACTTCTCCTGGTTCTCCTCATCAGGACCATAAACCATTTCCATCTCTGCCATCGCCACTGGGAGGGATGAAATCAGACCTTTTGACTCGTGTTTGCTCTGCTGATTCATTTTGAACATGTAATCCTGAATGTTTTCCTGACTGCTGCGTCACGTCTTGTTCCCTCACTTCCTGTGGGGGAAACCTGCTTTAGCACGTCACCGAGGCTTGGACGTGCATCCACTTTTAACATTTTTTATTGGTGCATTTGAAATGACTTGTGACATTTAAAAGGACAACCAGAGCACAGAACATACGGAAACAAGTGTTTGGTTATTTATTTAATGTAGTGAAACTTCTTGGTGATAAAACTGACACGGATGAAAGTCTAATTATTTTTGGTTTTAATGGATCCACATTCAAAGGAAGTTCGTTATCTAGGTCAAAGATTTCTTTTTTTCTGTATTATTTTCATTTGAATTAAAATAACATTTTACTTTAAAGGGGACATGCACCGTTTTTAATCAAGTTATAACAGTTTTATGTCAACATAAAACACATTTATAAAGTTATGAAAAATAGAAAAAGTGCTGGAAGTGCTGCAGGGGTGTGAGAAATTTTATCTGGTGCTCTTCAGCCAAGGGATCCACATAAATGTCGGCAAAAGGACATCTGAGGCACTCAAGAGATCAAAAATAAAAAGTCTTTATTAGTACATGGCTCAAATAGTTTAAAACATAAATGCCGACGCGTTTCAGCCCACAGGGCCTTCGTCAGGCCTCACAATGTTTGTATGTTCTCTCACTTTCATCTTAAGAAGGCTAATCAGTGACACCTGCTGAAGTTGGGCAGGTAGACAGCGTTATGATTGGATGACCAGTATAACACAAAAAAACTTTAACATCTAAACAATCCTATTGTGAGGATGAATACTTACAAATATTAAATTTCACTTATAGAATTTGAGAAAAAATTATAAATATGGTACACAGATGGTAAGAAAACATGAGATTATAAATAAGGAGCGAAGTCTAATTCTCCAGTAAGACCTGGGAAATTAGTAGCTTTTAGTGTGTAAATCCAAAATGATTCTCTTTGCAAGAGATTTTTAAGCCTATCTCCTCTAATTGAATGTTTTATATGTTCAATCCCTGTGATTTTAAGAGAGTTGCAGCTTCCATGATTTGTGTCTTTATAATGCACTGCCATAGAATATAGAGGATTACCAGATCTGATTGCTTGTTTGTGTTCTGCAAGTCTTGCTTTTAACCATCGACATATAAATATTGGACAATGAGTTTCCATAGGCTCCAATAATACATTTTTGTGCTAAAATGGGAGGTGGCCACCAACGCCATTTTGACCGTGCCACAGGTTCCGTCAAGCCCAGGCAATTCCATAAAAGGGAAGAGAGGTGGAGCTGAGGGTGGGGCTGTAAGGCTGGGATCAACTGACGACACCCGGTCTAACTAGCTACAAGCTTACCTGAAGCTAACCCAAAGCTAACACGGAGGTGGGAGCTAAGCTAACGGAGGTAGCAACCTAGCTACAACTGGAGTTAACTGTGCACATCACCAGAGCTTCTGAGTCAGAGATACGCCGGGCTGACCGCTGGGTAAAACCAGGTGGAACACAGAGGTCTCCGAGACCTCCACAAGCCGGCAGCCGCACAGCAGACAAGCGCCGCTGTGATCTGAGATGTGCAGAGCTGCCGCTGGGGAGAACCTGGTGCAAAGGTTTCCATCCCAGATCTCCACAAGCCGGCAGCCCACGCAGCAGACAGAAGCCGCGATCAGACAGAGATGCGCCGAGCTGCGGGGAGGGGAGAACGGGTGGAAAACATCGGTCTCCCAAGAGCTCCACAAGCTGATAGTGGGAACCCAGCTCCACCAACATGTTATATTTCAACCCATTTTCTAAAGTGCAGCATTATGTTAAATGCACTGGGTTTTACCCTATTACATTTACATTTCATGGTTAAACAGTACATGTTAAAATCTAAGCTCAGCTCGGCAGTGACCTAAAATACATGAATATAATTTTACTTACTTTATGACGGTGGCACAGGAGTTAAGTGCTCGCCCCTTAGTCAGAAGGTTGCCGGTTCGAGCCCCGCTCAGTCTGTCGCTGTCGTTGTGTTCTTGGGCAAGACACTTAACCCACGTTGCCTGCTGGTGGTGGTCGGAGGGACTGGTGGCGCCAGTGCTCGGCAGCCTCGCCTCTGTCAGTGCGCCCAGCTGTGGCTACATCGTAGCTCATCCCCACCAGCATGTGAATGTGTGTGTGAATGGGTGAATGACTGATTGTGTTGTAAAGCGCCTTGGGGGGTTCCAGGACTCTAGAAGGCGCTATATCAAATACAGGCCATTTACATTTTACCGAAAAAAAATGACGTGGAGACTCCTTGGACGCTCTATTAGTGCAATTAATGCCACAGCAAGTCATTTTGTCCAACAATTGCACAAAAATATCCAAACAAGAATACACAAACACAGAGACTCAAAATCCCGGAACAGTTTCCAGGCCAGACCGAGGCTCTACTGAGGCCTTTCCACGGAGCTAGCTCTGTGGTCACGTGGGTCTGATGCTCATTAATTATACAGAATTTTAGACTCTTAATACACTTAAACAGAAGAGTGAGAAAAAAATGCACCCCCCTCAGAGTTGTCATGAGTGTAAACTAGATCATTTAAACCAAAAACATGTTTTGGTACCAGGCTGTAAACATGTTTATTTCTGCTGTGAAATTGGTATTTTTAACATGGGAGTCAATGAGGATTTGCTCGCTCCTGACACCAGCCCCTAGTGGATGAGGGTGGAACTGCAATTTTTGGTACTTCAGGGTTTGTCTCAATTTTTGAGCCGCATTGTGGGGGCTTGGTTTTAACTTACGTTTAGTTCTCCCAATATGGAAGCAACCACAAGGGCATTCTAGTCTGTAGACCACGAACGAAGTATTACAAGTGATGAATGAATCAGTGTAAAAAGTACGTCCTGTGAAAACATCAGCAAAACAATTAGTATTAGTCATGTCACAGTGAACACAATTTCCACATTTATAGTTGCCTTTTCGAGTTGATAACCACGTTTTTTGTTGCTGTGAAGGAAGGTGACTTTGAACAAGCTGATCATTTAATGTTGGGGCTCGTCTGAAGCCGATAGTAGGAGTATCTGGGAGAGCTTCCCTAAGAATACTGTCGCTTTTCAGTATGTCCCAGTTTTTTGTAATTAGTTTTTTTGATCTTGTTGGCTTGATCACTGAATTGGGTCACAAATTTTATATATTTTGTATATTCCTAGTTGGGACGCTGCCCCCGCGACCCGGACCTGGATAAGCGGAGGAAGACGACGACGACGATTTATAATCTCATGTTTTCTTACCGTCTGTGTACCATATTTATAATTTTTTCTCAAATTCTATAAGTGAAATGTAATATTTGTAAGTGTTCATCCTTACAATAGGATTGTTTAGATGTTAAAGTTTTTTGTGTTATACTGGTCATCCAATCATAACACTGTCTACCTGCCCAACTTCAGCAGGTGTCACTGATTAGCCTTCTTAACATGAAAGTGAGAGAACATACAAACATTGTGAGCCCTGACGAAGGCCCTGTGGGCTGAAGTGCGTCGGCATTTATGTTTTTAACTATTTGAGCCATGTACTAATAAAGGCTTTTTATTTTTGATCTCCTGAGAGCCTCAGATCTCCTTTTGCCAACATTTATGAAGTTATTTGCCCCAAATCCCTCTGACGTTAAGCAATCTCTGTTTTATTCTTGACATTTTCAGTACCTTCCAGAAAGAACCATTTTAAAGCTTTGTCACTTTAAAAAATCAACCTGGAACTGGCCACACCCACCCATGTTCTGATTGGCTGCTATGGTCAAATCCCAATACTCACACTTCCACCCTTGCACCCTTCAATTGCCCGATCCCGACCAGGGGAGCGAGTGTGTAGGGTGTCCCGATTCTCAAGTGTGGAGGTCGATCACGCCCCTTTTATGCACTTGATCCACACTTCACCCAAGTCTGCATCGATGCCACCTTGGGTGAAAGGTATTACCCACAATACACTGCTGCGGAAGAAAAGACTCGAGTTCCTTTTCTGAAAATATGTATTTTCTATTAGTTGATGCTCTAAAACTTTTAGACAAAGCAGCAACAAATGTCAGTTTATTTCAAATAATTGTTTGAAAGTTGTTGATAAAGGTTTTTAAAGAAAGAATCACAGTGAACGGCATCCCAACGTGCATTGCGGTCGATGACACAATGCTCCCCATCTCAATTCTGCAATTATTTGCGCACTTGTGTACCACGCACTCGAAACCCTGCAGCGCACTTTCTCCAAGTGCACTTTGCTGAAGACCGCAGGGTGCAGTGCGAGTGTTGAGATTGGGCCTACGAAATGAGGAGCTTGGATATCTGGGAGGGGCTCAGAGTAGAGCTGCTGCTCCTCTTGCGTGGACTGGTCTGGTTGGTTTTTAATTAGTTTTTTCATTGTGACATCACAATCAGGAACTTTTTGAAATGGCTCATTTTGGGCACACAAGTCCTGACGCCAAATGCTGAGGGAAGACGGATGTTTTTTTATTTATGATTGGAGTGTGTAGAGAGACAAAGGTGAGTTTTGCACATGTCCTCTTTAAAGAAATCTTCTGATTATCTGAAAAACTGGAGGTTTTATAATCCTGTTGTAAGAACGATTAATTAAAACCGTAAAATCTGTGTTTTGTTTTCTGGCTCTGCTTTACCAGATTTATCCGAGTCCATCCTCCATTTGATGAGGAGAAGCCGCCGCCTCGTCTTCGTCCTAAGTCCAGACTTCCCTGCAGAAAAGAGCTTGAGCCTCCATGAGGGCCGTCTGGGCCTGTATCTTCAGCAAATCCACCAGGCCTCCATTGTGGCTGTGATTTATTGCTCCGTTAGTAAACTGCACAGCGTGGAGGTGGCTCAGCTCCGCCAGTCCTCCACCTGCAGGGTGACGTGGCGGGGAGGTCGGTCGGAACCGAGGCACTCCCGTTTCTGGCTGAGGCTGCAACTGGCTCTGCCGGTCCGGCCACTCGCTCTGGGCAGGAGGCTGATTGACAGCACTTCATCTCACTCGGATCTGGCTGCCCTGGCCCTGCACAGAGCCCACCGACTCCAGAACAGGACTGGGACGACCAATCAGAGCCACATCAACGAAAAAGCTTCAGCCGATCAAATCCGCAGGGGCAGAAGGACCCTGCCTAGAGGGCGACCCAGAGTGAGGAGGGTGGTGGGGTCCCAGTACAGCAGAAGATGTTCAGGATGCACTGGGTTCACGAGCCAGGTGGAGGGAGGACGAGCGGAGCTTAGAGTGGAGACAGAGGTGCAGCAGGTGCCATGTGATGCAGAATCAACCCAGATCCCGGACTCTGCCTACAATACTGACTACACTTCTAACCATGCCCCTTTAGCAGGCCCCACCCACTTCAACAGTCAACAAGAGGAAGCGGGTAGCGTCATCAAGCAACAGCAGGTGACTGGTGCCAGCCTGTCAGAGGAAACTGTGGGCAGAAAAGAGGGATCCACTTGTGGGGAAGATGCCACATGCCCTGTCCCTGTGGAAGACCCCAACTGATACCCAATCACAAACCTCGCACTCAGTGGCGACTCCAGAAATGTTTTTCTGCAGGTGCTATGAAGGAGCTAGTCTTTTTATTGCGGGCGCTATGAAGGAAGTGGTCCTATTGTTCTCTAAAACACCTTCAACACTAGCAGATACACATGCGTGCACAACACCTCAACAACACCTGAAACAATCATTAATATACATCATAAACTTATGAACAATCGCTGACTTTTCCATGAAATCATAAACACATACAGCCACACAGAAAACCGTCTATAGTGTTGCAAGGTTAGCTAACGTTAGTGTTAGCATTTCCAGCGGCAACACCCTGGACTGCTGCGGCGGTTGAGGGTTGACTCTCTTCATCCAGATCTGTAGGTTTTTGTGGGTCTGAGATCACTTCCAAACATTCATTCGTTTCTGACTGAACCCGTGGACATGTGGTCAACAAAAACGATCCATCTTACCACTAGCTCTACCTCTCACTCGTTCACAAGTGGAAAATTAGGTCAAAGGTTAACATCAATTTCCTGTTTTGGTTTAAGTTTTTACTATCTATATGTTAATTTACTGATTATTTTTGTTTTGTTTGTTAAATATTATCACATCCACACGTTCAATTAAAATTAAATTGTAAAAAAAAAAATCTAATATTTACTTGGGGGTGCTATGGGGGTGCAATGACTAATCCAGGGGTAGCTATAGCACCCCCTAGCGCCCCCCCTGGCGCCGCCACTGCTAGTCGCACTGCGCCCCGCGGTCTTCTGTGAAGTGCACTTGGAGGAACGCACAGCACGGCTTCGAGTGAGTGTTACACAGGTATACAAACAAATGCCAGATTGGGGCGGGGAGCACTTCATCATTGACTGCGCTGCACACCAGGATGCCGGCTGCTGTGCTACATAAAAACAAAATCTTTGACAACAGTTATCTGAAATAAATGTACATGTTGAGTAAATGTCATTGTTGCTTTGTCTAAAACATTCAGAGTATCAACTAATCGTCCTAAAATGAACTAATTTCAGTTGAAAACGCATATTTTCAGAAAAGGCACATGAGCCTTTTTTCCCAAAAGCAATGGATTGTGGGTAACACCCTTCGCCCAAGTTGGCATCATGTGGACTTGGGTGAAGTGCGGATCAAGGGCGCAAATGGGCCGTGATCAACTTTTGCACTTGAGAATCGGGACACCCTACGCTGTCACGCTCCTGTGGAAGTGCAAGTATTGGGATTGGGCCTAAATCTCAGAGCAATGCTGCGTTCAAGTCATGTGGGAAACAAGAGCCACGAACAAAAACCTAACAACAGCCTTACCTGCAGTCACTCCTCAAGGTGGCGCTGTAGAAACGCTGGAAGAACCCTCTGGTTGGACAGTTTCGGGTTTAGTCTTTGACCTTTCAGCCAAGGAAAAGCAGATTCCCTTTAACTTGTGTCAGATCATTTTCTAAAAGTTTGGTTTATCAGATAATCAGGAATGTTTCTGCATGCCAGCTGGAAGGATCTGAGGAACACATTTAACTTCAGAACTTTCGGATGTTTCACCTGCAGAAAAGTGTCAGAATTTAAACAGTTTGTGTGAAACTGGACTAAAAAACCCAAAAATGTGAATAGTGATATTGTATTCTTACATGTTTTCTGTACCAAGCCTTCTGTGATGAAAAATAAAATATGTTCAGTTTAGATCAGAAATATTCCAGCTGATGAATATGTGGAGTTTAATCCAATCTAAAACCAGACTCCCAAAGAAATCAGGTTTTAATCCAGATCTCCATCAGAGTGGCTGAAGGTCCTTCACTGATCCCATCAGGTGGACTGCTGAAGCATGAGTTCCAGATGAGCTGAGAGCCCAAAAAGAAAAGTCCAAAACAAGAGCTGGTGGTCCCGAAACCCCGGAGATCCAGGTCTGGAATGTGTTTTTGCAAGAGCTGGAAACTGGACCTCGATCATTTGAACGTTTCTGACTAACATCTCGTGGAGTCCGGTTAGCTAACGTGACCTGAACAACTCAGAATTCTCAAACACATCTGGATGAACATCTGTCAAACCCAATCAAGATGGCCGCCACAGCGGTCCTACATGAAGCCGAGAGGTGTGACAGCCAACGGAGACGATCCTACAGAAACTGCTGATGTGAACTCCTTTGGTGAAGGGCAGAATTTTTGTTTTTATCATCTGCTGTAGTCCAGATGTTTTAAGCCTATTCTGTTAAATTCTGACATAATTATAAGATTCTTATAACTTTGGGACGTTTTCTCGGAGCACAGCACCCTCTGCTGGTAGAATCGGGTTTAACCTTCGAATCAAACTGTTGACACGTCACAATAAAAATGTAAATTTTGAGTTAGAGCTGCAGGTTTTTTTTTTTTACTTACTTGTTTGAACATCAGAGGAAAACAGTAAAGATCTGAGCTGAATGACCTAAAACCTGAAGAATTACAGTCTGAACGCCAAAGGAGGAAGGGGTTGTGTTTCATTCCGCTTGTTCTAACAGAACCTGCAGGTTTCTGCTGATTCATCAGAACTCGTCCTCCTTGGCTGGAGCCATTAATCCTGCTCCTGAGAGGTTTTTAAACACCAACAGCTGCAGCAGGAGGACCAGCGTGTCCTCTATATGCTAATTAGATGCAATCCATAGAGTTGTGTATTTACCATTTTTAAAAGCTGAACTATTCATTTAAAGCTTCAAAATTCATCCAGCTTTTATATTTGTGATTCAGAGCCCTGGTGTGTGTGTGTGTGGGGGGGCACCTCCAAGATTTTCATGTTCCGTTTGACCTCCACTGCCCTTTCATCCAGAAGTTTGCAGTAAATTTGGTTCTAACCATATAGAACGTGATAGGAAATAACCGACTCAACAAAACAGGAACTAATTAACTTACACTTTATTATTACAACTTATGACAAAAACATTTTTACATCATGACATCATTATGCTCACATTGGCACAAATGGAGAAGTTATGCGTTGAGTCCAGACACTAGTTTTTTTCTAAAGGAGCCTGAACACAGCACGAGGCCTTCAGGGCTGTCTGAACTTCAGATTCTCTAAAAACACACACACACACTTTTAAAGCCGTTACCATGACAACATGCACATCTTGTTGTTTGCGTGGGTCAGTTGGGGGATGGGAAAAACCTGCCCAGCTTAGCTCGTCCCCTGAGAACAAACATCCCAACAGCAGACGCGTTAAACACAAATTTAACATAAATAATTTATCCCATCATTCACTTCAAACTAAAAGCACCAAGATTTTAATCTGCTGATCTGCCTGAGACCAATGCATAAACCCAGAGGGTTTTTTTAGTCTCGGTTAGGGCTGCACAATGTATCGAAAAATTATCGTCATCGAGATAACAGGACATGCGATAGGCCCATCGCAAAGCACGTCAAAAATGGTGATAAATGTTTGCTTCAAACATTTTCATCCATGTCATACATCAATTTTTTGTAAACCAGCTCAGTTTTTTTACGCTGAAGTATTATTTGGCCAATCAAATGTAGCCCTTCTGATATGCGGCCAATCAGGTGGGTCCGTTCACGTAATACACCCGCCCCCTATGTAGACCCTTAGGATGGAAAGCAACACCCGAACTGAGTTACCGGCGCCGTTCCCTTGTTCGTCATGCTGGCTCAGAGCAACGAAACGCACTTTGTGCTGAGGTTTCTGGAATCAGCGCTGCTTTCAAACGTGAACGTGAGTCCGCCCGGTGTCGTTAAGCAGCTGATAATAACCGGGCTGACTCCGACATGTGTCGGTGAACCAACCCACCTCCCTCCATGTCGCTAGTGTTCCACCGGGTGGTGATGTTAGCCCCAGGCTCCGGTTAGCTTCCAGCTAAAAGGCTACAGCACTCTCCTCCCAGTCCCACCCTGCTAAACAGGGCCTGGAAAAGTTCCCCCACACATCAAAGTGATTTTTCATTTATGAGCTTTTATAACCTTGTTCATCAGGATAGTTGGTTTGCTGCTGCACATAAACTGTCAGAAGCTCTGCTAGCCGGTTATCTTAAGAGGAGCTAGTTCAATTTGTTAGCTTGTTAGCTTGTTATCAGAATCATAGTTGCAGGACACGTTGGAGAGGTTACATCTCCAATCTGGTCCGGGAACGCCTTGGGGTCCTGCCGGAGGAGCTGGTGGACAAGGCCGGGGAGAGGACGGCCTGGAGCTCCCTAATTGGGATGCTGCCCCCGCGACCCGGACCCGGATAAGCGGAGGAAGACGAAGACGAAGATAGTTGCAGTTTCATCATCTGAGCTGCTTTTTAAGATCTAGGTAAACTTGTTCAATTTGGGGTTAAAACCAAACGTTTTCACATATTTTCCATGTAGTTTTTTGCCAGTTCCTCTTCTGAAAGGTAGACAATTATTTTCTCTTTCCCTCAGAAAATCTTAATATTCTCCGAGTTTGGCCCAGCACAGATCACTTCCCAATTACAACAACAGCCTTATATCATAACCACATAAGTGAAGAAAATGCTCAGTAGCAATGAGAGAATTTGCTGTTGCATGTAAGTGATGTTAACTATTATTTAACAATTAAACTATTTATTCTAAAAACCCTGGTAAGGGATGTTTTTCTGTATTTGGAGCATCAGAAAAAGTTTTATGGTGGAGGTGATGTTTTAAAGTCACTGAGAAACTGCATGCATGCAGTTTGTTGTTTTGCTGCTAATACAGCAGCAGGTGCAGCTGCTAATACAGCAGCGGGCGCAGCTGCTAATACAGCAACGGGCGCAGCTGCTAATACAGCAACGGGCGCAGCTGCTAATACAGCAACGGGCGCAGCTGCTAATACAGTAGCAGGGCGCAGCTGCTAATACAGTAGCAGGGCGCAGCTGCTAATACAGTAGCGGGCGCAGCTGCTAATACAGTAGCGGGCGCAGCTGCTAATACAGTAGCGGGCGCAGCTGCTAATACAGTAGCGGGTGCAGCTGCTAATACAGTAGCGGGCGCAGCTGCTAATACAGTAGCAGGGCGCAGCTGCTAATACAGTAGCGGGTGCAGCTGCTAATACAGTAGCGGGTGCAGCTGCTAATACAGTAGCAGGGCGCAGCTGCTAATACAGTAGCGGGTGCAGCTGCTAATACAGTAGCGGGTGCAGCTGCTAATATACAGTAGCGGGTGCAGCTGCTAATACAGTAGCAGGGCGCAGCTGCTAATACAGTAGCGGGCGCAGCTGCTAATACAGTAGCGGGCGCAGCTGCTAATACAGTAGCAGGGCGCAGCTGCTAATACAGTAGCAGGGCGCAGCTGCTAATACAGTAGCAGGGCGCAGCTGCTAATACAGTAGCAGGGCGCAGCTGCTAATACAGTAGCGGGTGCAGCTGCTAATACAGTAGCGGGCGCAGCTACTAATACAGTAGCAGGGCGCAGCTGCTAATACAGTAGCGGGCGCAGCTGCTAATACAGTAGCGGGCGCAGCTGCTAATACAGTAGCAGGTGCAGCTGCTAATACAGTAGCAGGGCGCAGCTGCTAATACAGTAGCGGGCGCAGCTGCTAATACAGTAGCGGGCGCAGCTGCTAATACAGTAGCGGGTGCAGCTGCTAATACAGTAGCAGGGTGCAGCTGCTAATACAGTAGCAGGGTGCAGCTGCTAATACAGTAGCGGGTGCAGCTGCATATTTTTTCAATAAAAATGTTATGTTGTAATGGAATTCATGCATTAGTTTTTGTTTGCTTTGAACCCAGAGCAGACGTCACACGCCAGACGACATCAACACTGCATACTTTAGTATTTGTTCATTTCTCGCGAGTAATATAGATATCGCAATATTAAGTGGTGTTATCGAATATCGCAGGTTTTTCTAATATCGTGCAGCCCTAGTCTCGGTATTAAACACAAAAACTCGCCCTGGAAGGCGTCAGGTCTAACCCTGACCCCGTCTCACCGCTATAAGGGAACCATTTGGGTTTTGGTTCTAGAACCATCCATTTAACAGTGACCCGGTCTGTCTGGGACTTACATGCCGCTGGTGGCGCTCCCCGATTCCTGGCTGGACTTTTTGTGGGATCTCAGTTCTGGAGACGTCACTGGTGGAAAGAAACGACCTGAGAAGAATCCATTAGCGAGTCCAGAACCAGACCCTAGAACAGGAAACAGAATTTCACCCATTTCTGTTGGGTCAAAACCACCGTGTCTTCACCAGCACAGCTTACCGGAGCAGGAAGCCGGCGGGTTCTGGCCCGTCTGGATGGTCAGGATTTGGTTCCAGTAGTCTTCGGGGAGGGACAGCAGACGGAGGATGACCTGAGAACAAAGTCCATCAAATAGGACCTGATCTGGGGCTAGAACCAAGTCAGTACACGGACCTTTGGCTGAATGCTGGTGTCGCTCATGATGGTGGTGGGAGTTGGTTCGGACATTCCGTGACCCACTAGAGTTGGTCCAAACACTCGGGCTAGGTTGTTCTGGTCCATCTGGCATTGTGGGCTTCTTATCACCCTGATAGAGTGCAAGTTCTGGTCAGAGTGGCCCAGTTCCATCCATCATCAGAACCTGGGTCAGCTGAAAGTACTTACCTGTGCAGGTGAAGCATGAGGAAGGCCAGAGTGTCTCTGTTGGTCTTCGGCAGCTCCGAGATGACCCGGTACAGGACAGCGGCACCTTTGTCGTTATCATCCAGTTCTGGAATAAATTGGGTTTGCATCACTCTGCGACTCAAACCCAAATCAGAACCCAGCTGTTCTTCTCACTGGTACCTGCAGCCTCCATGAAAGTTCTGTGCAGCCTGAAGGTGACCAGAGGTTCATTCAGCCTCCTCAGGAAATCCTTCAGCAGTCCACAGACCACATGGATGTCCTGGACTTCCCGGAGCATCAAACCCGGCTTCCCCCGGAGGACCCGCAGTCTGAGATCCTTCACTGCACGCTCCCCTCCAGGAACCCGGTACAGACCTCTCTGTGGACAGACAGGTAAGGTAGGTAAGACAGGTGGGATGTGTCGCACTTGACTGGAATGTCCAACACTGAAACCAGAGAGGAAACCTCTGGGCAGGAAGCTGGTCCGGTCTCTGACCCGTCTGATAGAACGAGTCCGGCTCAGGCCTGCAGTAGAACTTGAGAACTACCATCAGGTCTATCAAAATGGACTTCATGGACCTCCTCTGAAAGGTCTGGATCAGCTGAAAACTTCAGGAAACCCTCAATGGACTCACCTCATTCAGGCCCCTCCTCTCGATCTCTGCCACACAGTCTAGGATCAGCTGAGGAACTCTGGGATGAGTCAGGGGGGCGAACGCTTCCAGCAAGTCCTGAGCAGGACCAGAACTTTAACTTCTGGTTCCCTTCCAAAGCGAGACAAAGTCAGAAACTACAACAGGTACCCACTGGGACCGCGGGAGCTTGACATCCTGCCTCCCAGGAGAAGCAGCTGTCCGAGAGCTTCTGTTTGCATCCTGGATGAGCAACAACATGACAGTTCCTGCACTTCACCGCCATCTTCCCAAAGTGGATCCGCTTCCCACACGGCGTGCAGGTCTCCGGCCGGATCACCTGGAAAGTCAGAGGTCACCGGGAGCACAGACAGAACTTTTACTAGCAGGACACAACGACTCCGATACCGTCTTAGACAGAAACGTGTGTTTGAGGGTCTCCTGAGCCCTGCTGATGGGAAGAATCCTGTCCTCGGACTGGACTCTGGTTCTGGAGGTGTGGTCGTATGGTGTTTGATCTGAGGGACAAGCAGAAACATCGGGATCTGATCCAAGTTCTAATGATCAACTCAGAATCTAAAAGATCAAACTGAACCAGGATGAAGAAGTTTGGGGTCAGACGGCTCCTCCTCACCTCCTCCTACTGACACGACACACTCCTGGGTGACGGACCAAGCCGGGTCATCTGGACTCTCCCGTGAGATTCCCAGGGTTGTGTGGATCTTAGCACCAGCATCTGGAGTCATCACCGAGGCCTTCACGATGGTCTCCACCTCCTGAGCCAGACACACGTTCAGGGGGTTACACAGGTCCCAGGTCAGCTTCCCGTCAGAACCAAACCATAATGGGTCGATTCTGTAGGGAGACTCGCTGCTTCAGAACCCACTGACTTTTATCGAGTCAAACTTCTGGATTTTTTTCGCCGAGTCAAATTATACATGAAGTTCATGTTTCTGGTTTCAGCTCCTTGTAGGAGATCAGAACCTGTTGGATTCAAAACTCAAGACCGGTCATCTCTTCACCTTCTCAACAGCTTTTCTATCCAGCGAATCCGCTGAAAAATTCCCATCTCGAATTCGCTTCCCAACCGGAGCTTCAGCCACCGGGACCATCGAGGACCGCTGCAGAGAGCCAACAGGAAACGTGTTTGGGTGACACCACTGGATCAGGACAAGAAGGCGGCAGCGACCTAAACCAAGCACGGGACAAAACCCACCCTCCGCTCTCTGACTCGAGACCTCAGTGGTTTGATGAAGGTCGCGTCAAAGTCCTGAAACAACAAGACCAAAGTCCAGTTACTGAGTCGGCTGATCCGGTGGCCTCCTGGATGCCGACCAGTGTCTGAAATCCATACCACGTCGTCATCGGTGCGATCATAGCTGATGTCCGAGTGAGACAGGAAGGACGACTCATCGATCGCAGAAAGACTGTAAAGAGAAAAAGACTCGATCTAAATATTAAAAGGTACAGAGATGATTCTCAGTCTGATGGGGCTGCGCGATTGGCTGTTCGATTGACAGAGCCCTGTGATTGGACCCTCACCGTTTGTTGCTCTTGTACAGAGTCATGTTGGCTCCTTTCTGTTCGAACGTGGCCAACAGCGATCTCTGCTCGTCATTCAGGACGTCTCTGGACTTGCCGTCCTGGACCAGGATGTCACACATCAGCTGCATCTGTCTCTCCTAACAGAAAACAGAGAAATGAGTTTGTTAGAAAAACTCAACACACAACGGAGGAAGAGTGCTAGCAGCCGAGCACAGAGCTCACCAGGTACTGGTAATCCGCCTCAGTCTTGTGTCGTTTCTTCATCTCCACGTCCAGCTGGTTCCGAGCATGCATCAGCCTGATCTCCAGAGCAGCTTTGGCTACATCAGACTTCACCAGCAGCTCTTTGTACTTCTTCAGCTCGAGGTCGGCATGCAGCCAACTCTTCCTCACCTCCTCAAAGTTCTTCACCACCCCCAGAAACTCTGCAAAGACACCAGGCTAAGAACCCAGGCTAAACCTAGAGACAGAACATGGTCAGGTGTATGGGGTGCCATTTGTAAAGTCAAACAGTCATAATCTAACAGCAATATTTTTGGTTAGTTAGCATATTATAAAGAAAAAAAATTGGGAGTTCACTTTTTCGAAGTCATATTTTCATCATGTTATTCATACATTTATAAATGTTTAAGTTTCCAAATAAATATGTAGTTAGCAAGCTAAATATTTAATTAGCAGTTAAATATTTATTTTGCAAACTAAATATTTAGGTCTGATCTAAATATTAAGTTTGTACGATAAATATTTAATTCACTAAATAAATATTTACTAATTACATATTTATTTTGGAAGTAAATATTTAATTTGTAAATTAAATATTTTCCGAATTTTTTTTTTCAGATCCCAGCTAAATATTTATTTTGGAGCTAAACATTTAGTTTGCAAAATCAGTATTTGAGAAATAAATATTTAAGTCTGACCCAAAAATATAAAATATAGTGTGGAGCTAAATAACATCGTGGAAAATAAACATTTAGCTGGTACTTAAACATTTAGCTAATATGCAAATTCGCTTTCCAATAAGTGGAAGTTGGTTACCAAAATAAATGCTGGATCTCGCTAACCTCTTTATAAACTCTTGCTCCGAACCAGAAATTGTTTTATCGCCGGTTCTATTCTTCTTCAGCCAACACGTCGGACATGTTCAGAAGAATAGAACCGGATATTTATTTAAATATTTATTTTCCACTATGTTATTTAGCTCCACACTATATTTTACATTTTTGGGTCAGACTTAAATATTTATTTCTCAAATACTGATTTTGCAAACTGAATTTTTAGCTCCAAAATAAATATTTAGCTGGGATCTGAAAAAAAAAAATTCGGAAAATATTTAATTTACAAATTAAATATTTACTTCCAAAATAAATATTTAATTAGTATATTAAATATTTATTTAGTGAATTAAATATTTATCGTACAAACTTAATATTTAGATCAGACCTAAATATTTAGTTTGCAAAATAAATATTTAGCTGGGATCTAAATATTTAGTTTGGACAATAAATATTTAATTTACAAATTAAATATTTAATTCCAAAATATTGAATTAATAAATTAACTATTTAGTTAGTGAATTAAATATTTATTTTACAAACTAAATATTTAGATCAGACCTAAATATTTAGTTTGTAAAATACATATTTAACTACAAATTAAATATTTAGCTTGCTAACTAAATATTTATTTGGAAACATTTATAAATGTATGAATAACATGGTGAAAATATGACTTCAAAAAATTGAACTCCCAATTTTTTCTCTTATGATATGCTAAATAACCAAAAATATTGCTGTTAGATTATGACTGTTTGACTTTATAAATGGCACCCCATACAGGCGAGCAGAGCAGCTCACCTTTTTCAATGGCCATGATGTTTCTTTCCTCCATGATGAGCCTCTGAAGAGTCGCGAGCTCCTCCTGGAGGATTCGAAAGTCCCCCATCACTTTAACCCTGCAGCACGGTTGGAGACAAGAATGAGGAGACGACGACACTAGTGTCAGCTGAAGGGTGAAACACCTGTCAGGTGCTCCGAATCCACGCTGCTCTGGTTTAACTTCAGAGAAGACCTCTAAACACGCTGGACACGCGCGCACACACACTTGTTTGCCCCGTGCACGTCGCGCTACCGCAGTGCGTAAATGCGCAGAACCACACAATCTCCTTAGCATCAGTCATGAAGCTGATGTGGCCTAAAATCCCCTCTGGGTACCAGATACCTCCTGCAGGAGGTCCCTGGATCCGGGGCCTAACAGGTGTCACGTGCTTTATTCTCTTCATTCACAACACCTGCCTGACCTGCCGCACGCTGCGAGTCGGTAGTTTCCGGTCTCTAGTCCATGCTGCAGCTTCGGGTCACCGATAGTCTCCAACAGCATTTCACCGTAAACGCTACTAAATCAAACCGACGCCTCACCTCAGAGAACGCGCGCGCGCGCACACACACTGGAAGTGTCACGGTCGCGTGCCTGTGGGTCAACCGCGAAGCCGCTACACTACGTGATATGTGTGCGCGCGCGTGCGTGCTAGTGCCAGGTCCTCTTGGGTTAATTGGTCAACAGCTGCAACGCATCATCAACAAAGACTCATCAAACATTAAACTAAGAGAGGGAATGATTAGTGTGTGTGTGTGTGTGTGTGTGTGTGTGTGTGTGTGTGTGTGTGTGTGTGTGTGTGTGTGTGTGTGTGTGTGTGTGTGTGTGTGTGTGTGTGTGTGTGTGTGTGAACTGGTCTAGGATTGAACAAAGACACCTTAAGGTTTTGTTTTTAGGCCAAACAGAAAGAAGCAGAGCTCTTCTCTTCTTTAGTGTGAACTATCTCCCAGACCGACCCCTCCCCTCGTTTGGACTGATACTCTTGCTGGGAGAAGCAGTCCTCAAGTACACCGGGAATGCTTCCAGGACACTTCTGGAATCCAGCTGGATTTTAGAGGAAGGGGGAGCTAAAGTCTGGAAGTTGAGACTGTGTGAAGTCTGTTTGATGTGTTATACAAGCATCCCAAAGGTCAAAGGTCATCATCATCCACTTATTGCTCAAAGTTTACAACCTGGGAATTTCTGTCACATGATAAAATAATTAGAAAAAAAACATCTAAACCAATAAACGGTTGGTCTTCCTATGTTAGTGTCTCTGAGACCAGGGAAAGAACCCAGACCGAGCCCAGACAGAACCCAGACAGAACCCAGACCGAGCCCAGACCGAACAGGCACCAAACATGAATTTTATTTAAGGTAAAAACAAACAAAATAATGTTTCATATTTCATGCGGTGTTATGATCAGGCTTCTGGAGTCTTGTGTCTGTTTGATCGGCTCATTGTCCTCTGAGTGCTCATTAACTCATCGCTGCCCGCCAATCAGGTTTATCCTCCCTGCTGCAGATTTTCTCCCTCACTGGTCACATCATCCAGAGGTCATAGGTCAGCAGGATCCACACTCCAACAGGGAAGGAGGTAGAGGCAATAGGAAAGAAGAAACACAAACGCGTGCGCGCACACACGCTCACACAAGCTGCTGAGAGACAGACGGATCAACACGGAGACGGATGGACCACGTCTACGACGACGAGTACGTTTAAACATTTCCTGAAAACATCTTCATTCCTGGCGAGACGCCCTCTCGCCTTCGTGAGCGGCACAGGCCCGTTAGCGGCTGTGATTTTTAGGTCACTCAAGCTGCTGGGTTCCTAGAGAACCTGGAGCTGAGAACATTCCCTGCATCTTCCAGGACAGATCAAGTTTCGGTAGACCGGCCTCCTTAATGACCCCTTTCTGTGGCCGACTGTGAACCGGAGCGGATCAGACTCCAGCTCCCTCCAGTCCTGGATCAGCCTCCAATCTGTTGGACATCTGTAGCCGGTCTCATCCTGTCATTAGAGACGACCACTCGGTGGGCCTGTCGAGAATCCGGCTCCGGCCCGACCTTCCCTTGGCTCCAGATCCCTCTCAGGGGACCCAGGGTTGGGCTGGGCCCCCAAGGTGAGAAGCCCCTGGGAGAAAGGAAAACCCTCCATTGCTCCATTGTAGCCTGTTCTGGGCGGACCGAGAGGTGGGGTGGGTGGTGTCTCCAGAGGGTTGCAGCCTCCTTTTGTTCCAGCTGAGGGTGAGGACGAGGAGGGTCGGACTGGTTTAACTGGTAATGGAGCTAAAGATGAAGTTCTGTTAGACTAGAAGCTGAAACCAGGTTCAGCTGGTCTCTAGTCCCCAATGGGACTTTGGACCTGAACCCGATCTCCAGGTTGAGCCCAGAACCTTTAATTTGGTTTAATTGGGTCAGAACTTCTCGTTGCATCTTCATCTGTTCTTCAGATTAAAGATTACTGATGAGGATAAACGATGATGCTGAGCTGTAGACAGTTCTGGTTCCGGTCGGTCAGACCTGCAGCGGAACCAACCCAGTGTGAACTGTGTGATGATGCCGTGTCGGAACCTCTGACGAATGTTTACAATGTGACACAACAAGCCTCAAAAAGACACAAACAGCAGAAACCTTCCTGTCTGGGTCACCGCGGTGACCTTTGACCTTTTGGCTCACAGCATCACCTCCAAACAAACGGTGAACATCTGGGTGTTTTTGTCTGAGAGGACGAAGATGAGTTCTGATGAAAACGAAGCTCAAAAGAGCTCCGTCGCTCCACCAAACAACAAACTGTGAACCTTAACCTTCGTTCTTGTTGATTTTAAAGGTTCAGATAAAAAATGTCAGAAAACTCAACTAGATGTTAACCTTTGAGTGAGTTCAAATCTAATTTAATAAAAACAAATAAAACCCAATTAAAGTGCAATCAATCGCTTTAATTCCCTTTCATCTAAACAATTAGTAAAAGTAGTAAAAACAGTTTTAACAGTTAATTCTTGTCTAAATGTCCAAAAGCCTTCAAATAAAGGCAACTGGACTTTGGTTTCTTGAAGCGTTTCGCTTCTCATCTGAGGAGTTTTGTCAATTCTGACTGGAATATGGGAGAGTCAAGCCTATAAACTGTCGCTGTCTATTGAATAATAATAATGTTAAAGGGACTTTACGGAGTTTTGAATTTTTATGCTCGCGATTGCCCCCTCAGGCCAAAAGCGCATGGCAGCCTCAATAGGCGCGCGTGCTGTACGTGCATAGCCTAGAGAACTAAACCAAATTCTTGCTTTGCAAAGTTTGGTCTAGGCATGCTCCATTGGAACCTCCACAGCTCCTACCAGGACTCTGGCTGGCCAATCACAGCTCTCTAGAGGGGTTTCAAACACATAAAGAGCTGTGATTGGTCCATAATGGTAGGCCAATCATAGTGCTCTATCTGCTTAGTGAACAAATCACAGAGCTTTATCCGCTTTGTGGGCCAATCAGGGCACTCTATATGCCTGGTGGGTGGGATGATGCAACAGAGTGAAACAAGAGTATGTCACATTCTTTGTCCAGTGGAATGCGGAGATCATTTGAAAGACAACGGTAGAACCCGCCCCACAACCGAGAGCCGTCAATGGAGCATGGCCAGACTAAATAATACATTTATTTAGTCTGGCTTGCCAGGCTAGTACGTGCACACTCCTTGACGAAAGTAACAGCTGAGACAGACCCGTGTGTGTGTGTGTGTGTGTGTGTGTGTGTGTGTGTGTGTGTGTGTGTGTGTGTGTGTGTGGCCCGGTGGACAGAGGACAGGAGAACGTGCAGCTGATTAATTAAATAATGTGGTTCTGTACCTTTCTCTTCAGCACAGCCGACAAAGGTTTATGATGGGTCAGTCCTCCTGCATGCTCAGATCATTCCCTTCCCTTGCTTGAAAAATTGTTCCTAAATGAAAGTTGAACCCACATCTTATTTATCTGTGAATTCAATGCCGTTCGGCGAGTCTCAAATAAAAATTTGGGCATCTTACTGTAAAAAATATACCATTAATGTAAAAAAGAAACTCTAAATTAACTATGTTCACACCTGGAATCAAACCCAGGTCTTCTGCATGGGAATCAGACATCTTACAAGGTGAGCTAAACCACCAGTGACATCTTCTGTATATGTAACATTTATATCCTTGATGACAGCTGAAACAACATTCAAAGAACGGTTCGGAGGGCGATGCCTGAGCGTGAACGCGCATGAAGCAGCCTGCTCGACCCGAGCATCTCTCTTTTTCTGTGATTTTACAGAAAAACAGGCAATCACAGTAAAAATGCCAGGGCTCATTCTACAGGACCAGGGCATTGCAGGAGAATGTATGAAGAAGACATTTATTATTTCTATACATGTTTTGGCTGTCAGACTTCCATAATGCCCCTTTAAATTACAGCAGACAGCTCCAGCTTATAAGCTTGACTCCCATATTCCAGTCAGAATTGACAAAACTCCTCGGATGAGAAGCGAAACTCTTCAAGAAACCAAAGAAGTCCAGTTGCCTTCATCTGAGCCCGTTTGGATTACCACGACCTGGATGACTATGAGAACTTTCACAAGGGAACTGTCTGAATGTCAAACTTCTCTTCATTTATTTTTTATTTCTGTATGAAAGCGTCTTCAGTGGCAGCTTCAGATCAACAATATCAGACGCTCTGATTTATACAGATTCTGTTTTGTGGATTTTTAGGATTGGTAGTAAAACACCAGAACCAGAACCTCTGAAAGGCATCGGGATCTGGGTCTGGCTCTTTCTGCTGAGAAGTTCTGCTCTCAGGGTTTGTTCAGATTAAAGGACTAACAGAGCACTCCTGTTTCAGAAAATAGACGTTAGTCACGGAACACCTGAAGGAGCCCCCGCCATTTTTTGGTTTGCTAATGCTAATGGTTAGCTTCCACTAGCCGAGACATGTTGTTTCCCCTGGCTGCTAGCTAAACACAGCCTTCTGCGGTCGTGACCAATTGTATTCCAAAAACAATAAGTTATCGTAATATTGCTTCTGAAATGTAAAATGTCTGGAAAAACCTCATCTAAGCATCCTGAATGGCCTCTTCTTAAGGATTAATCCAACTCCCACCTGACGGTCCCCGCCCCTCTGCTCATAGGCTAGCTATCGTAGCTGGCATGCTAAAGTGTTATACAGTTTTGCAGGTGCTTTTTGTTAGGAATTAAGGCAGAAAAGGTGCCAACAATGGGCCAAAAGTGTTAAGCTGTTTTTTTTTTAAATGCTATGGCCAAGAAAAACGCAGCTGATGAGCGGAACAAGAGCAAATTGTAAATCAGTGCTACGTTCGGACAATCGCATCAACTAAAGCAACAGTAAAGGCTGTAAGCTGTCACCAGGGTGGCGTTTTCCTTCTGGGTAGGTGAGATCATGTTGGGTTTGATGTGGCTGTTTGATATTTGTTGTGTTCAGCATTCACCTGTATTCTGGGGGCGTGGCCTACGAGCAGGATCTGAAGAAAGGGTGTTGGACCTTTTTAATATTTTTTCAAAATGTAGCTAGCTTGAACAGCTGGTCCAGGAACACCTCTCTTTTTAATCACGGTTAGTTTAAAAAGCAGGATTGGACCTAAGTGTGCAAGTCACCCCCTACCAGATTCTTACTTAACTCCCACTTCCTGTTTGAAAAATGCAACAAATGCTGTTGCCTAGCAGATAGAGATGGTGGAGCCGCTAACAAACACACACACTCACGACATTGTGACATCATAATGTACCATCTAACATCATAATGTACCTCTTAGCCAATAGCGACGGCAGATTTAAATTCAAATGCAGTGCTGAGTTTTTACCTGACGACGGTGCAACACTGACAGTTTTAGGCAGAATATTTAAATTTTAGCTAAGATGCACTAAAGTGCCGAATTATTGACGACACGTGTCTGCAGCACGGTCAGACACTCATTTATACTTATCAGCAAAAAAAATGTTGATTTGGAGTGACTTGCTCTTTAAAGGGTTTTAATCTATCAGCTCGTTCTGCCTCAGGAGTACAAATGTGAACAGCCATTTGCATCAAGAGGAATAAACCAGTCGGGAATGATCGGGCCACAAACGGGCCGCATCGTGGACCACCCCGGTTTAAATTAGAGCAGTAAACATTAAAAGGAACGGGGTTCTGATCGCTTCGGATCACTTCATTCAAAAGTAACAAAGATGTTAAAAAATGACACATCTAAATTTAATAGAATCAAATGTTTTAGTGCAAGGAGCCGACGTCCTCTTCAGGAGGGAATCACAAACCAGGAAGTGGTTCTACCAGGTTTCCAGGTGGAATTCAGACCTGAAACAATTTTAAATGTTCCAATTTGGTCTAAAACCAGGATCCATGGAAGTCATGTTGTGTAGCTGTTTAATGGAAAGGAGTCAGCTGAAGTGGTTCCGACCCAAACCCTCTGGACATGTTCCTCCAGTTAGAGGGGATCCCAGGTCAGACCCAGGACCTGAAAATGGACCCACTGTGGCGAGTTCTGTCCTGTGACCCAAAGCGTGAGTGAATCTGTTCTTTTGCCACTTGGTGACAATAAAAGTCTGAAGAAGCAGAGACGGCATCAGCATGGACCTCCTCAGACCTTCAGAATCAGGAAGCGTGCTCCTCGTGTTCATCCTCCAAACCGGTGGGAAACTCTCAGGGGGCTCACGGTTCTTGTCTGGGAACCCAGGTGAAGTTCCAGCGGCCCCCGCCGTCTCTCCTGACGAAGGCCTGTCCCTGGGGGAAGCTGTGGGTCTTCACACAGCTGGACTGGGTCAGAGACATCCTGAAGGCCAAATCTTTCTGTCCGCGAGGCTCGGGAGGACCTGCAGACGAACCGGCACCCGTCCAGGGTGTGTTCATGATCAGACCTGAAGACGGTGTCCCGGCCTCTGGCGGGAGAGTCCAGTATGCAGCTGAATGGTTTGCTTTCTGGGTTTGGACCGGACTCATGCATGATTGGTTGTAGCTCCTGATCAAAGCTTCAGACGCCTTGTAACTTCTGGACAGTCCAGTGGCAGTGAAGGTCTCTGGAGTTCTGGGGCAGTTCTGAGTCATCAGGGCAGGATCATCAGCATCATCACAGGATGACATCTCATCTGCTGGTCTCTGGCTGGAGAAGGGGACAGACGAGAACGGTGACCCGAGACATGACCCGAGAGATGAGTTCAGAGAGGAGGTGAACATCTGGTCAGAAGACGAGGACGAGGTGATGGCGCCTGGGAAGTTGTTCTCCGGTGACGATCCAGCGGACGTATCGATGGTGTCTCTGTCCTTTAGTCCGAGGGTTTGTAGGACCCAGAGATCCAGGTTTGGTTCCGAGGGGACAGATGTCTCAGAGGACTCCGAGCAGAACTCTGCGGTGAGATTTCTACAAACTCTCTTGCTGATTTGTTTGGAGAGCGGAGAAGGTTCTGTGAGGTTTCTCTTCAGGTTCTTCCTTCCATCTGCAGGCAGGTTCTGTAGGGAAGAATCAGAGAGGCTGCATCAGTTCTACGAAACAAAAACAAGAACACTGGGTCGGACTTTTATATCAGCAAGTTCTCGGCCAGCTTTGATTCTCAGACCGATGGTTCTGAGGAGACCATCTGGAAGAACACGCTGAGTTCAGAGGCCGCGGTGAGCCCACCTTAGCTTTCTGCTGCAGGCTTCTCACAAACGAGGAGCTGAGGAACTCTCTGAGCTTGATGTTCTCCTCCTGCAGCCGGGCGAGCTCCTCCTCCCTCTGCAGCAACGTGTCCTGCAGCTGGAAGCATCAAAACACCCGAGTCAAGAACTAACCCAGAAACCGGTTCTGGTTCTCCAGAACACAGAGGGTTTATGAACTCTGTGGTCCTGCAGATATCTGGAATGGTTCGGTTTAGCTTTGATCCATAAATAAATCTTTATTATTATTTATTTATATTCATCAATGTTTTACAACAGAACTGTTTGGAGCGACCCAGTAGAGGAAACACGACCAGAAAATCCACAACGGTTAAGGTTGTGGTCATTTTTGATTCCTCTGTGTCGACATCTTCAGTTCAAAGGAAGAGACTGTTTCTGTGTGAGAGTGTTGGAGGTTCTGAGTCTGCCTGTGATGAAGACCTGGTTCCTGAGACGTGAGCTGTGCTGAAGGATGTCCGTGACCCGTGTGAGGAGATGTGGATCCACAACAACAGCCCTTAAGCCTAACAGCTTCATAAACAGAGCTAGTTCTGCTGCAGCCGGAGCAACATCAGCAAAAATCACTCAACACAAAAAATAATTAAATATTTGGACACGTTGGATCGGCTCTCTGTCTGGTTCCTGCCGTTTCATCATCTCCGACACCTGGTGTTACCTGTTTGTGTCTCTGCAGGTGAGGCGAGAGCTGTGGAGTCCATGTCTGACCAGCAGGAGGCGAGCTGTTAAAAACACATGGAGAGTCTGACAGAAGCGCACATGGTTAACAGTGATGTCATCAAAAATGTTCACATGAAGTCAACTTTCCAAACAGCATCAACGCAGAACGGATTTCCTTCAGAGTTTCTTCAAATGTGTGAAAACTGACAATTTAAGAAATCAGATAAAGAAGTTCTGAATTATTCTTCTTGTTTCAGAGAACCGGATTTTGGTTTCGTTCTGTTTGAAATTCATCTAACTTCGCTGAAAAAAAACATTTAGTAGTTTTGTAACTTCTGCAGAATTTGAAGGCATCTTTTTACTTAACAGCAGACCCTAGTGGCTACTAGATGAACTGCAACCGGTGTCTGTGCTGCCAGTTGGGAGTTGAGCCAGGAAACTAAAAGATGGATCCTGATCTCCTGGTTCTGGTTGTTTTCCTTCACCGCGAAAAGAGTCAGCCTGAAATCTGATCAGCTGATCAGAACTGAACTTGTGCATGTTCAATCAATCAATTTTATTTGTAGAGCACCTTCCAACGTTATCAGAAGCCCAAGGTGCTGAACAGCATCATAAAAACATTCCCAGTACCTGGGCATGAGAGCAAGATAAAAACATAAAATCATAAAATAACAAGCAAGCAATATTACAAATACAGAGAGGTAACGGAATGAGACTAATCAATTATAAATAAATGGTGGAAAAAATAAGATCAAGCATCTGAATCAAAAAGAAGAAGTATTAAAAACCATGATGTCAGGGCAATTCAATGAACCCTAGCGCTGACAAGCAATCAAACAGAAATGAGTCTTTAGATGAGACAAAGACTTGAAGGGACGGTGCCTGCCTAATGCTCAATGGTAATTCATTCCACAGAGTTGGAGCCAAAACAGAAAATGCACGGTAACCTCTCGATCGATATTTCGACCGGGGGACCACCAGACGTCCCTGCTCGGCTGAGCGAAGAGACCGAGACGGAACATACTTGTGCAAAAGTGCAGTAATGTAAGAGGGGGAACTGCCCTGGAGGGCCTTATAAACAAGAGTCCAGATCTTAAATTTAGCTCGATATTGCACCGGGAGCCAGTGCAGAGTATCCAGCAGTGGAGTAATGTGATCTCGGCATCTAGTACCTGTCAGGAACCTAGCCACTGAGTTCTGTACAAATTGGAGCCGTGCAACCATGTTGTTGGCGTGACTCACCCCACAAGGGCAACGACGTGTTTCCCTTCTCTTCAAGGTCACAGAGGCCACTGGGGTCACAAGTCCACATGGAGGCCAGCGTTTCCATGGAGACAAGTAAAGCCCTTGGAGCTGAAAGGGATGAGGGTGAAGAGGAGGAGGAGAATCTGGGACCCTGAGAGAAACAGAGACAGCTAAGTGAAAGGTTGTCTGTGTCCATCACAGGAGGATGGATTTGTTTGCTGAACCCACCCGACCCCTCGCTGCTGCTGCACAGACCCACCAGCATGAGCGAACGCCGCAAAGTTTGTTTTACTGAAGAAAAAATAAACAAAGAGATCTGCAGATTGGGCAACACCCTCTAGAGAAGGAGTCCTCCACAGGCTTTCTGTCCTGCACAGAAGCACCCCCGAGGCGGTGCCGTGGCTAATTGTTGGTCAGCCTTCTGGCTCTCTCAGGGGAGACCCTTTCCCCACAAATCACCGTACCGCTGACAAAAACATCCATTCTTCTTCTTTAATCAACGCATGAATGTTAAAGCCAATAAAAATGTACTCTAATTTATTCTTAATAAATAAATTAATAAATCAGTTTAAATAACTGTTTTTAACTCATTCACTGCCACTGAAGACTAAAGTAGTCATTTGCGTTTTTTACTGTGTGGGCGTCGGACGAGCCCCCGCGCTGACAGAACAAACATCTCAGCTCTGAAGCGATCCTCTTCCACATACATCACACGTCACATGATCAGGAAGCAGAACATCCACGTGTTAGGGGAATGTTTTGAGCCCTTCCTGTAAAAAAAAAAAGTGAGGCGCGAGCTGGAAAAGCTTCTGCCGATCGCAAGTCAACAACGGATTATGAAAGAACGGATAACGCTCGAAACGCGCGGATTCTTCCTGATGTAAGAGGTGAGTCTCCGCTTTGTTTTGGTTGTTTTGGCGTTGACATCATCCTAGCGCGCAACGTTCTGAGACTCTTAAAAAAACAGTACAAACGGTGAGAAACGCTGGCAGCGAAGGGCTTTAGCGATCAGGAAACGGCCGGCAGTGAGTGCGTTAACTGAGGCTCGCCATTTTCCTGAAAAAAGTGTAAATCACAGTAACTTTAGCTGACATTTTGTTTTAAACAGCAACAGACAAGCTAAACAGTAAAATCCAAAAACACTAAAATGTGAATTCCATTTTTGGTTCTTTTTAAACACAGATGAGGTTTCTCTTTACCTTGCTGACGCTTCGTTTGCGGCTGCAAACTTCCTCAGAGCTGACGCTGATGGTGGCGTCACTTCCTACTCCGTTTATCTGCGGGCAGCAGAGGACGTTGTCGCCCTCTGCTGCCGGAGACGTGGATGTGGGACCATGAACAGAGAAGATGGGGTCTACACATTGGATCGTGCATGGGACTGCATCATCGCAGAGGGGAGAGCGGGCAGCAGGGGGCGACAACGTCCTCTGCTGCCCGCGGATAAACGGAGTAGGAAGTGACGCCACCATCAGCGTCAGCTCTGGGGAAGTTTGCAACCGCAAACGAAACGTCAGCAAGGTAAAGAGAAACCTTTTCTGTGTTTAAAAAAGAACCAAAAATTGAATTTGAAGACAAACACAGCAAGAATGCACAAAAGATACTAAAATGTGAAATAACAGATTTTCTTTAACTGTGAGGTGGACAGTGTGTATTTTCCCTGGCGATAAGGGGCAGTACACATGCAGTGCATACCAAAAGCAAGCTGTATTTTTGTGTTTGGGTAAGATCTTACCAATGGATGGCCATTAGGGCCAACAATCGTTGAACCTCCAGCAAAATGACAAGCACACCAGACTCCCTTTCATCACTGGCAACGAGCCAAGAGGTAAATGTGTAAAACAACGATGTTCATGAAAGGTGAAAGTTTTGTAACCGTTTGTTACAAATCTGTAAATATCTTTTATCCTCATGGGCTCACATAGAAGGAAAGATGGCGTCTAATATGTTATCGCCCTGAGACTTAGACTCGCTCCCATGTGTTTTATGGTTATGTGTTACAACTGGGCATCCCTTAAAGGGACTTTACGGAGTTTTGAATTTTTATGCTCGCGATTGCCCCCTCAGGCCAAAAGCGTAACGGCAGCTTCAATAGTAGGCTCGTGCATGAGGCGCGCATGCTGTACGTGCACGCTCCTTAACGAAAATAACAGCTGAGACAGTCCCGTGTGTGTGTGTGTGTGTGTGTGTGTGTGTGTGTGTGTGTGTGTGTGTGTGTGTGTGTGTGTGTGTGTGTGTGTGTGTGTGTGTGGCCCGGAGGGCAGAGGACAGGAGAACACGCAGCTAATTAATTAAATAATGTGGTTCTGTACCTTTCTCTTCAGCACAGCCGACAAAGGTTTATGATGGGTCAGTCCTCCTGCATGCTCAGATCATTCCCTTCCCTTGCTTGAAAATTGTTCCAAAATGAAAGTTGAACCCACATCTTTTTTATCTGTGAATTCAATGCCGTTCGGCGAGTCTCAAATAAAAATTTGGGTATCTTACTGTAAAAAATATACCATTAATGTAAAAAATAAACTCTAAATGAACTATGTTCACATCCAGAATCAAACCCAGGTCTTCTGCACGAGAGTCTGACATCTTACAAGGTGAGCTACGCTCTAGCAGTATTCACTTTATCTGTAACATTTATATCCTTGATGACAGCTGAAACAACGTTCAAAGAACGGCTCGGAGTGAAAATGTCTATTTTGTTGCTAATTAGCAGGAAATATCTAGAAGAAAGTTCTACAGAAAGTAGCTAAGGGTCCTCAGAAATGTAGCTAGCTTTGTCACTAGGCGTTAGGAACAGCGACAAAGTGGCACTGCCTCTCTCTCTGCTGCTAAAGCTACGGATAGCAAATGCTACGGGCGATGCCTGAGCGTGAACGCGCATGAAGCAGCCTGCTCGACCCGAGCATCTCTCTTTTTCTGTGGTTTTACAGAAAAACAGGCAATCACAGTAAAAATGCCAGGGCTCATTCTACAGGACCAGGGCATTGCAGGAGAATGTATGAAGAAGACATTTATTATTTCTATACATGTTTTGGCTGTCACACTTCCATAATGCCCCTTTAATGACCCCAATATCGGTCGGGCCCTAGTTTACAAGTACAAAAAATCCTTTCGAAACTTTTCTCACCTGACTTTGTGCCTACATGGTGCATTTGAATGTTAGGTGGAAGCTGGGAAATTTGGATTTTAGTCTAAAATTGTGTTGAAGGGACAAAAGTGTTTTATGTGGAAAAATAGAGTATCTCACAATCCTGAAAAGATAGACATACATTGAATTTTTATAATCTAAAATAGTTTATTTTCACACATATGTGTTTATGAGCCATGAAAATGTAGTCAAAGGGCTATAAGAAATCACCACTAGCAGAGTGGTTTTTTGACTGGGAACAGCAGGCTTCAAACTGGGAGAAGGCATAAGAAGGTGGCACAGCATCCTGGGGATCTTTCCTTTGAAGTAAGTAAAAGTTCAACCTGCACGATTTGCAGTCCGGTTAGAACGAGACAGCTATTAATTCAGACCCTTTCTGACGTTTTATAGGTCTGACAGGTTGATGCACAGGCTGACAGGTGATTAACAGGTTTCTGCAGCGCTTCATCAGTTGCTGAACAAGTGATTCAACCACTGAACTGGGAGCTTTAGAGCAGCAATAATTAATCAGATGCTCCTGGTGTCAGTCCTCACAACAAAATGTGACCTATCCTGAAGCTACGTGACGTATTCGCTCTAAAATGGCTTTAAAACTCAACCTGAGCATTTAATCAGCCTGACAAATCCGTCAGAGGACAACCAGAAGACTTCTGCTTTAGTGATTCCAGAGGTCAAGGGTCGTGCTGAAAACGCAATTCGAACGTGGTTCTGCGGTACATAAAGTAGGAATATAGCCATCGGATTAAAGTCACAGATGCAGCTGAGACTTCTGCCAGGTTCGGTCCACTGAGACATGAAAGCCAGGTTCCGAATTCTAGCTGATGAATAAATTCAACCTTCAGCATTTAGAAATTCTCAGTTGTTGTTGTTGTTGTTGTTGTTTACCTGAGAGCCTTGCCTCGGCCGGGACGGACCTGACTGGATCCGTCTGCAGCAGCAGAACTTCCACCCCCCGGCAGGATCCCCTGGGCCAGAAAAAAACCTCCAAAACAGTTTCAGGAGTAAAAGCGGATCCCGGATCCAACCTGTTCCAGCTGGTCCCGGTCCGGAGGTTCCGACTCGGGAGGATCTCCTGGTTGGATGTAGCTCAGAGGGCGAACATTCCCTCCCTCCCTCCCAGGTGTGTGTGTGCGTGTGCGTGTGCGTGTGTGTGTGAGACTGGAGGACAGAACCGTTGCGGTGCGGATTGTTCGGGGTCTGAACGAAATGTCGCGTGACCGCGTGGGTTTGGCGGGACTTGGTGGATTTTCGCACCGCACATAGTTGCTGGATGGGGGGGGGGGGGGGGGGGGGGTCTCAGCTCAGACTCCTAAAATCCAACACGGCGACATTGTCGTGGCTTCACCTGCAGAGTGGGCGGAGCCTCCTGATGGATCTATCTCACATCCGTGGTTGAGTCTTGTTCAAGGCGGAATGAATTTGATTAAATATGAAGTGTTCCATTTTTA